AATAAGTAATACGTATATGGCAAGGCTGCCAACTCAAAGGAAATTTGCCAGATTCAGGCGATTTTTAGGTCACAGCGGTAAAAAGGAAAATTTAGCCATTTCGAGCGAAATTTAGCATGTTCTCAACCATTGCATCTTCAAGGTGAATCTACACATTTACATGGCGACCTTTTGCACCTAAGTAGATAGAACTGCTCATTTTTCGATTTTTCGAATATTTTTATATATTGACCTCAATCGTATGCTTTTTTATATTTAGAGGTACTCAAGTGATTCCACTGTGCGAACAGAAGCGTGATGTTTTGTTATGCTTCGCTATGAAATACACAATTACCCGTATATTTATACAAGTCACTAAACACTTGCAATGTAACGCTTCCACTTTGTCTTCCTAGTTGAAGCAAAAGTAGCGCTGCTAACTAATTATGTTACAGCGCGAAAAGAAGAGAAAGCTTACTAAGGCACACAAAGGACCGTACTTTGTTTGCCTTAGCAACTTTTCTTGTTTTTTTTTTCGAGTTATAACATAAATACTAAATAACAACGTGCCAAGTTTACAATATACTGCTCATTTGCCGCACGGAAAGTACGTTAATACCATCGGTATCGGTGAAAAGTGCGACGTCTGTTTTCATTGGCGAATCTGTGTCGAGTCCTAAGTGTACCTTAGTAAGGTGTTTTTGTTCTTTTCGCACGGTAACATAGTGATTGAATACCAATATGCCCAGTTTATAGTACTGTTGATTTGCTGCGCGGAAAATGCGTAAATACTGTCTGTAGCGGCGGAAAGCGCAACGGCCACTTGCCATTGGCAACTTTGTGTCCTGTCATAAATGTGCCTTGGTAAGTTTTCTCGCTCTTTTCGCGCTGTATACATAGTGAACGAATACCAACTTGCCCAGTTTGCCGTACAGAAAATACGTTAATACCGCCGGTATCGGCGAAAAGGGCAACGGCCGCTTTCATTGGCGACTCTGTGTCCTGTTTTAGTTGTGCCTCGGTAAGTTTTCTTGCTATTTTCCACTGTAACATAGTGAACAAGTACCAACTTGGCCAGTTTACAGTACTGCTGATTTGCTGCGCGGAAAATACTTTAATACTGTCCGTATCGGCGGAGAAGTGCGACGGTCGCTTTCGTTGGCAACTCTGTGTCCTGTCATAAGTGGGCCTAGATAAATTTTCTTGCTCCTTTTGCACTGTAACATAGTGAACAAATACCAACTTGCCCAGTTTACAGTACTGCTGATTCTGCGCGGAAAATACGTCAATACCATCTGTATCGGCGGAAAGTGTGACGGCCGCTTTCATTGGTGATTCGTGTGCTGTCTTGAGTATGCCTTAGTAAGTTTTATTGCTCTTTTTGCACTGTAACATATATGAATGAATACCAACTTGCCCCGTTTACACTACTGCTGATTTTCTTCGCGGAAATTTAGTTAAATCACCGTCCGTTCCGGCGAAAAGTGCAAAGGCCCCTTTCAGTGCCGACTCTGGTGCTGTCTTGAGTGTGTCTTATTAAGTCTTCTTGCTCTTTTCATAATTTAACATAGTGACTGAATAATAACTCGTCCATTTTACAGTATACTGTTGATTCGCCGCACGGAAAATACATTATTACCATCGGTATCGGCGAAACGTGCGACGGCTGCTTTCATTGGAGATTCTGTGTCCTGTCTTAAGTGTGTCTTGCGCAGTTTACAGTACTGCTGATTTGCTGCGCGGAAATAACTTTAATAGCGTCCGTTTCAGTGAGAAGTTCTTGCTCTTTTAGCGCTTTAACATAATGATTGAATACCAACTTGCCCAGTTTACCGTATGCTGCTGACTCGCTGCGTGGAAAATACGTTAATACCTTTCCGTATAGGCGAAAAATGCGGCGGCCACTTTCATTGGCCATTCTGTGTTCTGTCTTACATGTGTCTCATTGAGTTTTTTTTTCTCTTTTCACGTTTTAACATAATGACTGCATAACAACTTAACCACTCAACAGTATACTGCTGTTTCCGCACAGAAAATACGTCAATACCGTCGGTGTATCGGCGAAAAGTGTGACGACCACTTTCGTTGTCGATTCTGTGTCCTGTAATTAATTAAGTGTGTCTTAGTAAGTCTTCTTGCTCTTTTCGCGCTTTAACATATTGACTGAATACCGACTTGCCCAGTTTACAGTACTGCTGATTTGTTGCGCGGATAATACGCTAATACCGTCCGTATCAGCGAAAAGTGTGACGGCCACTTTCATTGGCGACTTTTTCTCCGGCCATTAAAGAAGTCCAGCAGCGCGTTGGCTCAGGTCTCTTAGCAAAGATTAATTATCTGCCACGCTAATATCTTGGGAGCCTGTCCATGAGTGCAAACTCAGCATTTCTTAATAAAGATGGCGAAATTATTATACATTCGAGAGCATAAGTGTGAAAAACTTCCTAATGGGAGTGTGGCAGCTTGGGCTAGTTGGTATGACATGACGATAGTTAAAGCGCGAGAATAGAACAGACGACGCAGAGACAAGAAGTGTCCTTCGTGTCCTTCTTGTCTTTGCGTCGTCGTTCTGTTCTCGCGCTATAATTAACTTCCTAATGGAGTGTGGCGATTGGCGCTGAATACGAAGAGTAACGTATTACTGCTATCTATTATTAATTACTTCAATTTTGTTCAAATAATGCAATCTTAAAATTATTCTAGGGTCCTTGAGGAAATTCAAAGAGGAAAATCAGCTGGTGGGGATAAAGTAATGTCAGACCTATACTACGATAGGGAAGAGATTGTGTTAGAAAAACTGGCCACCCTGTATACGACGTGTCTCTTGACGGGGAGGGTACCAGAATCTTGGAAGAATGCCAACATCGAATGAGAAAGGGGACGTCAAGGAGTTGTAAAATGGCAGGTCGATCAACTAACTGTTCGTTGTCTACAAGATATTAACAAAAATAATAGCTAATAGAATTAAAATGAAATTAGACTTCAATCGACTAAAGGACCAAGCATGATTTCGTGCAGGCTACTCAACAATAGACCCTATTCATGATATCGATCAGGTGATACAGCAACACGCGGAATACGACCAACCCTCATACATAGCACTCATCGGTTACGAGAACACATGTGATTCGGTCGAAATATCAGCTTTTATGTAGGTACTGCAGAATCAGGATATCGATGAAGCCTATACATAAACATACTGGAAGAGATCTACAGTGGATCCACAGCCACCATAATTCTCCATATAGAAAGCGACAGAATTCCAATACGGTAAGGTGTAAGGCAAGGAGACACGATCTTTTCAAAGCTATTTACCGCTTGTTTCCATGAGGCTTTCAAGGCCATAGATTGCGAATAGTTGGGGAGAAGAGTTAATGGAGGGTATCTTGGTAACCTGCATCGATGAACAACTTATGCGACGAATTACAGCTCATGATTACTGTACAGGGAAAGCAATAGAGTAGATATGAAAATTAATATGCTTAAAGCTAATGTGCAACAGTCTCTGCAGAGAGCGGCGCTTTACAATAGGTGGCAAAACGCTGGATGCTGTAAAGAAATACGCCTACTTAGGACAGGTACTAACCACGGAGCCGAATCGTGAAAGTGAAATAACCAGAAGAATACGGATAGGGTGGAGCACGTTCGGCAAGCATTCTCAAATCATGAATGGTATTCTACCACTAATCCTCAACAGGAAGGTGTTTAACAGCTGCATTTTACTGGCCCTTACACGGAGGCTTAAAAACAGGGTTTAACTTGAATTGAGGACGATGCAGCCAGCGATAGAAAATAAAGTGATAGGTGTAACCTTAAGAGGTATACATACCTTTATTGTGGTGCAAAAGGAAACAAAAAAATAGAAGAATGTACCCCAGCCTATATTACGAGTATATCAGGCGTACCTTAAGGGGCAGGAAGAGTGCAAAGTGCGTGAGGGGAAAAACGGGGGTAAATGATATCATAGCTGAATCAAGAAGAAACGGGACATGGGCCTGGCACCTATGAAGTGTGGCCATTAAGGGTAACCGAGTGGATTTGAAGAAAAGGCAAACGCGTGAGAGGGAGATATAAATGTAGGAGGGCAGATGAAATTGAAAAGTTTGCAGGTATAAGGAGGCAGCAAAAGCACAGGACCGAGTTGATGGCGGATCATGACATGGGAGAGGCTTTTACTTTGCTGTGGTCATAGTCAGGCTGATAATTATTATGATGATGAAAATAATGCTAAACTAACACTGGTCTCTACAAATATAGCTCAAACCGACATGCCACACAAAATCTTGAATAGTCTTAATTATTCTATGTAAGCGAGAGAAATTTTGTTAGAAAAGCGGTAATTTCGGCTTTCTGGGTGAGTAGCATTATATCCATATTGCTGTTAGCATCCTTACACAACTGAATACTGCTGGATATGTTTAACGCGCGTATGTGCGTGCATTTGGACGTATCTTTAGCGCCACTTCATAACGTTTCACTCAATAAAAATATTACAACAGTCACCTTCCCTCCGCATGCTTCGCATCACGTCGATTGCCAAGGTACGTGGAGAACGACACATTTTTATTTCAAGTATACAGTCTTGGAGTGAAAAGGCACTTCACTGAGCGGAAAAGCGCGCAAAACCACAGCCAGGCTTCACGAATATATCTGGAAGAAAGAGATCAATACGTGGAAATGACAGAACGTGCATGATTTTCATCGATTTAATGCTTAATCTTCGGGAGTGTGTCCCGCCGGTAAATAGCGTCTCGCACGTCCTTCATTCAGTCTGTGCTCCTGTCCGCGCAAAACAAAAAAACGACACTCTGGTCGTGCACGATAATTGTATTTACAATACACGGCCCCACGTTGGACCACGCATGACTTAGGGGACCCAAGCGCGTGACTGGAGATTTATTTCCTTGCTTTAAGTCGGCCGTTTCCGGGACAATTGGCGAGGAGGGCGAGAGAGTAGGGACGCGCCCACCCCTGATGAACGCAAGATGCGCCGTCGTCACTTTGGTTTCGCAGCCGTTATTTCAGCCAATGTGCATCTTGATCATGAACGGTGAACAGACCTCCTGAACCTCTTTTAGCTTCGCTTGTATGTCCGCCGCCGCCGAGTTCGGGTTGCCTTCTAGCCACTCGTTGGCTTCTTTACACTTGGCCAGCGCTTTCTCCTTCTCCTCAGACGATATCTTGTCACTAACAACTTCCTTGATGGTCTGCTGAACGCTGAAAATGTAGCTCTGCAGCGAGTTCTTCGAGGCGACCTGCTCCCTTTGCTCAATGTCCTCCAATCGGTACAACTCTGCTTCCTTGAGCAGGCGCTCGATGTCAGCGTCAGAAAGACGACCTTTCTCGTTCGTGATGCGGATGGACTTTGCATGCCCCGTGCTCTCGTCCCTGGCCGACACGTTTAGGATGCCATTGTGGTCAATATCGAAGGCCACTTCGATCTTGGGCACGCCCCGCGGAGCTGGTGGTATGCCGGTGAGCTCGAAGCGACCTAGATGATGGTTGTCCTTGGTCATAGAACGCTCGCCTTCGTAGACCTGGATGGTGACTCCAGTCTGGTTGTCCGCATACGTTGTAAACGGTTTGGAAGTCTTGCACGGCACCTTGGTGTTTCGGCTGATGATCTTGGTCATGACGCCACCCGCCGTTTCGATGCCTAAAGACAACGGTGCCACGTCCAGAAGCTTCACATCCTTGATGGTCTTGTCCTTGGCGCCAGCCGACAAGGCGGCGCTGACTGCCGCCCCATAGGCAATCGCCTCGTCCGGGTTGATGTTGCAACAAGGCTCCTTGTCTTTAAAGAACTCCTTGACGAGCTTCTGGACTCGGGGAATGCGCGTCGATCCTCCCACCAGAACAATGTCATTTACCTTCATCTTGTCAGTCTTGGAGTCGTCCAGCGCCCTCTGGATTGGTCCCAGTATGCTCTTGAAGAGGTCCAGGCACAGCTGCTCGAACCGGGCGCGCGTTATTTTGGTGTAAAAGTCGGTACCTTCGTAAAGCGCGTCAATCTCGATGCTTGTCTCTGTGGTCGAGGAGAGGATGCGTTTGGCCCGTTCGGCCGCGGTTCGCAGTCGACGCACGGCGCGCGCCTTGTTGGATATGTCCTTGCCGAACTTGCGTTTGATCTCGCCAATTAAGTAGTCGACAAGGCGGCTGTCAAAGTCCTCTCCCCCGAGGTGTGTGTCTCCCGCCGTCGCGAGCACGTTAAACGTCTGCGAGTTCTTGATGGACAAAAGGGAAACGTCGAACGTGCCACCACCAAGGTCGACAATGAGAACAAGCTTCTCGCCTCTGGTTACCTTGTCCAGGCCGTAGGCCAGGGCAGCGGCCGTTGGTTCATTCAGCAGCTTGGGCACCTGTAGACCAGCGATAGCGCTGGCGTCCTTGGTCGCCTGTCTCTGCGAATCGTTGAAGTAGGCCGGCACAGTGACGCAGGCGAGCGTGACCTTCTTACCGATGTAGGCCTCGGCAGTCTCCCGCATCTTGGTCAGTATCATGGCCGATATCTCCTCCGGGTTGAACACCCTCTCCTCGCCCTTGTAAGTTACCTTAATCTTGGGCGCATTCTTGTCGTTAACGACGCGGAAGGGCAAGTGCTTGAGGTCGTCCTGAAGCTTGGGGTCGTCGAAGGTGCGCCCGATGAGTCGCTTAGAGCCGAACACGGTGTTCTCCGGGTTTAAAGCCACCTGTGCCTTGGCCGGGTCACCGATGAGTCGCTCGGTCTCAGTGAAAGCGACGTAGCTGGGAGTCGTTCGGTTGCCTTGGTCGTTTGCGATGATCTCAACTTTGCCGCAGTGGAAGATGCCCACGCACGAGTAGGTGGTGCCCAGGTCGATCCCGATGGCAGCATCTTTCGGATCGGCAGCCATGACAGCTCTGGAACTGCAGCTGGCCCTTCGGCGTCCACTGAGAGCGATACCGGCGTGCCAGAACTCGAGAAACAGGAGGCTTGTGGTGCACTCAGGAAAACCCGGCACTCGCGATCTCTCGAGCTGCCCCTTAGGTGGCGGCGCGTTTCAACCCACAGCGTGCACTGCCGAGTGCGCGCGCTCAGCTGAGCACTTCGTCATTATTAAAACGTGTCCAACCCCGGCACTACACAGTTTTCATGGTGTAGGTGATATTTGCTCACTATGAGAATAATGAACAGATTTAGAGCAGAGGACGGTCCGCGGATCGGAAAAAAAATGTACCTGACAGGTCATGTCGAAAGCTAGCTGTTGAAAAAACATCATACATGACACCTTGACCACATGCATTTATCTGTGTATCTATCTCCATACGTCTTGACATTCTCGTCATGATCCCTTAACTTGAAAAATACCAAAATTTGCATAGGAGGGCACTAGTGTATAGGGTGAGCATGGTGAACCAGCCGTTACATGAATAGCGTGTGATACTTGTCGCGTACCTCAAGAAACCCTTTCCTACGGTCACGTGTGGCACATAGCCACAAGCCACGGCTCACAGAATGCGGGTATGAGCCGCAGATGTTGTAGTTTGTTTCAACCTAAAAAACGGCTGTAACAAACATTCAAAATTCTTTACGTGATCACGTTAGGAAGCTTGTGTCACAAAAAATGTCAGAGTGTCATAGCTTAGGAGAAATCACAAGGACGGAAACGTGCAGGGGGAGTCAAAAATTCCCGGGACACTATCTCATGTATTTTTAAGAAAGCGTGGCCTGGGAAATTTTCACCAGGACTGTAGTCTTCGCAGGCTCGCTGTGATAAGTACATGTATCAGCCTGCTGCTGGGGCGAGGACTTGTGCGCGCATTGGGTAACACGCTGGAAAACGCTTGAAAACAGTGGGTGGTCTTTCGGCTTGCTCACTCTTTTATATCCAATCAATGATAAATTTGGCTACTAAGTTCACGAAAGCCGATCTTTAATATAGCCAGAAATTTTAGGTGTCCGTACGTAGCGTCAACCTCAAAGTGTTGTCACCAGATGGCGTTCTAAAGTAGCCAATTGGGCAGTGCCTGCCTCTCTACAGTTCGATACCGAGCGTGAGAGACTCCCATAGAGCCCGTTAATCAGTCTCACTGCATCGCGAAATGGCAATTCATAGCGCCATAGACATGCTCAGAGTTCCCTTTCAGGGGTAGAGGGGGTTGGGGCGCAGGTTTATCGCAACGTTCCCCATCCCTATTATTTCAATGTAAGAAAAGACCTTTCACCTTTCACCCCTCAGGTGACGGGTGGGAGTAGCATGCCGCCCTGGCCCTTGCGCACGCCTATATATGCATTGCACTACGCATTTATTAGCAGGACATTTCTGACAGCTCTGTAGTCAGTTACGGCGTCGCCACGGACGTAGCGAGGGCAGCCAGCCCGAATAGGCACTACTTTCGACTGTAGAATAAACTTATAACAAAAAAAACTAAACCACGATATCCGGCGCAGGTGGCTCTTTTGTCCGTGGTACATGCTTCAACAACAAAAAAAAACGGTGAGGGCAAGGTGGGAAGGCGCAGTATGGTCAGCGTATACCCTCCGCTTTTACGCCAAGTTCGTTTTTGACGCGAGTAAGATATGAGAACGCTCTTGGTCTTCGTCCTACAAGAATGCTATACAACCACAGGTCTGCGTTTTTTCCCCTCCAGGTCACGCCTAGTGAGAGAGAGAGAGAGAGAACGAGAGCAACTTCACTGAGGTCCGTTATCCGACGGAGGGGAGAGTTGCCCCCGCACCCACCCGGCTATTCCCACGTGGGTACTGACAGGCCTAATCTGCGGGCCCTGTCGCGGCCGTATCCACTATCACTCAGAGCCTCGCAACTGCGGCACCACGTGAATATTGGTTAAAGTTTACCTACAGTTCAATGGCATATTCGCCAGGGCTTGGTCGCTCAGTATCTCCATGGAAGGGGTGCCGGCAAGCTGTCTGTGCGTGTACAGACAGTCGGGAATGACGTACATGCGTGTGATATTTATTAGTGTTCGCTTCGAAATAAAATTTTCAGTTGCTAGTAAGCGCTTGTCTGTGTCCTCTCTGAGTGTGTGTATTTCTGCGCTTGTTTCATCATGAACCTTTACCAACACGCCCAACTGGCAGTCATCCTAGAAGTTAGAGCCTCAACCCAGTGTTGTTTAGTAGGTATGGCTAGACAACTGGCAGTGAAATCAGTGTTTCAGGAGACAAGGTTGCCAGCTCAAACACAGGGACAAAGGGGGGAGCTCGTCATAGAGAAGCTTACGAAGCACAGAAGCACGCAGAGATCGAAACTACTGCGGCCGCCGCCCCTGCAACAGGGGCGGCGCCAGGGGGGGGGGGGGCAAGGGTGGGCTGGAGCCCCCCCCAAGATTCTCGCCTGCCCCCCCTATGCCCACGCAAGTGCCCGGAAGCATATATTGAAAACCTAGTAGGAGCAGAGCTAGCTTGCCCCCCCCCCCCCCCCCCCCGGAGGAACTCACTTTTCGTGGTTGCCCCCCAATAAAAACATCCTGGCGCCGCCCCTGCCCTGTTGGCAGTCCTAGCAAAACGAAACGAAAAATACCTTTCGCTTGCTGTAACTACGCCATTACAGCTGGGTTAAACTTACCATAGGTAGATATCTGCATGACCTTGTTTGTGACACCTCCAATACTTAGCGCAGAACTTATGTTGCGCCCTAGCGCTTGTTTCTCCCTGTCCCTTTCTGTCATATGAATTCTCCGCTAGCGAAAGTTCTGTTTGCGAGCTTTTAACAGTAATCGATTGCGCCTGGTCTGACCGAAATGATATCGTAAATGCACTAACGCATCGCATAATTAACGCTACCGGCGTTCATGCAGAACGATTCTGCGTCAGCTCGAAACGCTCGCCTAAATACCGTAAGAAACTAGCGCCCCACAGCGCAGGAGCGCCTGAGACTAAGTGCGCTCAACCAACACCTCCTATACTTTGAGTATAGTACAGGAGGCGTTGGTACAGTACAGTACAAAGTACAGGAGGCGTTGGCTCAACCTTTGGTGACGCTGAAACGCGCCGTTTTCAAATAAAGGGACCTGAGTGCGGCGAAGAATGAAACGATGTGCGTGCTTTCAGCGTGTCCCCATCAGAAAAAAAAAGAAAGGCATTCCTGGCGTAAGCAGTCAAAACCACCTCGATAGCAGCCCGACAACAGAGCAAGAGGGGTGACGAACAACAGTTCTCACCGGGTGCCGGTCGGGGTATTGTGCGCGCCCCTCTAATGTTCCTGACTTCTGCAACGTCACAAGGGGATTCCCTATGTACGTGAACTACAAAAAATGTCGATTGCACCTAAATACTTGGAAGAGCACGCACCCCTACTAGGCTAGATTAAATTACCTTCTTGGCTACGTTCGACATTAATAATCGGTCAGAGGTGGCGCAGCATGCAGCACTATCAAACAACACAGGCACTTCGAGTTTACAAATTTGGTGTCAGCGGTTCTTTAACACTTCGGACTAAAAAGGCAAGGCATGTTTTATTGTTCCCGTTTTTCCCCTGCTTTCATCTGCACTGCAACATAGCATGGGCCAGACATAGTCAAAACACTATTCATGAAGATCACCTAACGTCTAGTCTTTCGATATTCGTTTTCTAAAAAGGGCGCAAATTCGTACTGACAAATGCCAGGAAAGTCAATTTAATGTTCACGTGCACATACGTACGTTTCAAGTGTGTGCTTGTAACGGGGCTTTCATATCCGGCAATCTTAAAAGGGGCCCTGCAACACTCTTTGAGCATGGTCAGAAAACGCTCCCGATCGGTTGTCGAGGCTCCCGAGAACAAGCGAGCCAAATATTATAGCGCAACCCATGGCCAGGAATTCACAATAAATTTTCAAAGTCAGCTAAAAAAAATCACAGCATTTCCGCGTAGTGAATGATGATGAGTGGGGCGAAGCATCCATCAGCCCATCCGTGCTTCCGTGCGTCTGTCCATGAGTCCTTCCATCCATCTTTCTATCACTTTGTTCGTGCGTCCATTCGTCCGTACGTCGGCGCGTCTATCCATCCGGCTGTCAGTTTGTCGGTCCGTTTATCCATGCGTCCATCTAGTCAGACAGTCAAGCAGCTTTATTTGGTCCTGAGAAGACGAGAATTCCCCCGTCAGGTGGTATCATATGGAGGCCCCACCCACGATGGCGCCGGGAGATTCAGGCTCTCGGCGACTTCGCGAGCTCTCTGGACAGCCCTTAGCAGCTGGTCCTTCGCGGAGCTGGTGATGAGCTGGAGCCAGTGTTCCTCAGTGGAGGAAGACCCTGAGCCCCCGCGCAAGTCGTGACACTGCCACAGAATGTGCTGAAGGGTGCACCTCGGATGACCACAGCGCGGACAACGTGGGTCTATTCCCTCTATGAATTTTGACCAAATAAACAGACATGGATATGTGGTTGTTTGTAACATTCGCACGGTGATTACATGTGGTCTGCTTAAGTGTGGGTGTGGAAGTCGAAACTTCCGACGCCCTAGCTGATAGTGCTTACAGAAAACCTCATTAAAAGTGAGAAGAGGGTCCCTTTGCCACTGCCCTCCCTCGGCCTCCGAGTGCCCACCTCCAGCGCGGTGAGTGAGACCTCGCATCTGGGAGTGTGCAAGTATCGTTGGCGTTTGGGTTGGTTTCGTGAGCGTCACTGCACACGTGACCAGGGAACCAAATGATATGCTTTTCGCCTGTCTAAGATGCAGCAGAGAGAACGCGAGCGGCTTCTTTGCACACCGAGCCTTTCGTAAATGCTCTAGTGGCGGCTCGCGAGTCCGTGTAAATAGTAGAACGGTTCGTCGTGGCCATGGCGATAGCCACTGCCACCTGTTCGGTTTTGTCGGCATCCGAATTTTTGAGCGCAGGAGATGTCAGCAGCTCTCCTCGTAACGATGTAGCTGCTGAAACAAAGTGATTAAAAACTGCGTATTGCGCTGCGTCAACAAAGGCGACATTGTCCTCAATCATAGCCACTGTTCGAAGAAGGGCTCTGGCCCTTGCTTTGCGTCTGCCATAGTTGTATTGGGGGTGCATGTTCCTAGGTACCTGAGATGAGATACAGTATACATTTCCCTGACTTTGATAGGGAGCACGCACTCCCTCTGTCTGGCAATGGGAGACCTTATACCAATATGCGCTAGTAACTGTCTGCTCGCCTCCACGGAATCCAGTCTTGCAACTTGGGCGACCTGCTGTGCCTCTACTATTTTTCTAAAGGTGTTGTGGACACCCAGCGCCAATAGATGTTCTGTACTGGTGCTCTGTGTGAACACTCCAAGTACCTCCATCTCCCATCTCGCATCCCCTGTCGCACATACCCGCTCTAGAGCGGATATGTGCCACCGGTGGCTACGTACTACTACATATACAAATACCACGGATGGACAGACTCGCGCTTTAAGGAGCTTCGCCCCTAAAAAGGCTTTCTATTTTTCGACAAATGATGGAACAAGCTCAAAAATCACTCGTCACAGCCATTTGCTGATACGAGCATGGTGTGTGCGGTCGATTACTGGGCACATTGCGAGACGTCGTGACTTGTCCACGTGTGAGCGCCCATTTGCACTGATGAGCCACGTATTCGAAAGAGAGAGTGTGCTTAAGGTCACGAGGCCCGTGTGATGTTTTAATTTCTCCATCCCTCTCTAATTAGCTCTCAGCGCTTCCATGGGAACGAGAGAGAAGAAACTGCTATTGCAGCATGCGGTATATTTTTGTAACTTCGCTCGCACTAGACAGATCTAAAATGTTTTGCAGAAGTGAATTAGAGAGGCAATAAGCGCCCTTACTGAATCTACTCCATGGCTACTTGAAAAAGCGTTGCAGGGCCCCTTTCGAGCATTGAAAAGAACAGATTTCACCATAGCTTCAACAAGACTTTATTTCAAGCGCGGCATGAGAATCGGTATTACAAAGCATCACAGTGAGCTTGGACAGGATAAAGCACTGATAACCTGCATGCAGTCTGCAAATAAAATTTAAAAAAAATGTGTCAAGTAATTATGTAACTGTAACTGATGTGTAACTGAACATTGACCAGGATAAATAGAGCAGGACTGAATGAAGATGAAAAAGTAATGAAAATAAGTTGATAAACACATGATCAATATATTGATAGAAATATTTGTGCACTTCGACAGAAATACTTTAAGGGATGACCAGGAGTTGTTCATTTAGAATAGCTGTTCCTTTCTTCATAGCGTGCGCTATGCTGAAAAAAGTAGCACATACTGCTGAAGTGCCATGCATAGTTCAAAAACTCCCTGCTTTTTGGAGAGATATTCGAAAAATGAAATGAAATTATTACATATTCCATCAGTTACGTACAAGACACGCCACTGTATGAGGGATCATTGGCCCACATATAAAATCATTTCAGCAAAAAGAAATTACCAAGTTGGTTGAAAGAGCCTGAAAAAGACCAGACAGACAGCGTAAAAAATAGTGCATTCTTCAGGTCATTACAACTTCAGCCTGTGAATGAAGAAAAAGATGCCGCTGATAATATTCATAACAAAAATCAAGGCTAACGTTGCGCATCTGTCGTCTCTCATCAGTGCACAAGCCAGTGTTCAACGTACCAGATCAATGCTGAATACTTCATACTTCCTACAGAGCCACTAAGGCGTCCCTACTCAATCTCATGCCCCGACGTAGAACAGCAACAATAGGAAAGCTTTGTATAATCGATGTGCTGTGCTGGCCTTGTTTAACCATGCTTTGTCATTTCCAACACTTTATTCATTACAACATTATTTGTAATGCTTTTCTCATCATGACTCTAAACACTATACCTAACAATAAAAGCTGCCAGCACTAGAGTAACAAGTAATCATGACCTAACAAAAATGCACGATTCCCCATCAATTTGCACACTTCCCAAGCTAATTCAAGTTGTCTTAGAAAATATTTCACTTTGCACCTTCCAATAGCCGTATATGATGTTTGCATAAATTTTATTTGAGCTTGCACAATTATAACACAAATATTAAAGAAAACTACGCTCTTAATGTTAAGTGCAAAAGGATGAATGACATTATTCCTTGAAACCAACCTTTGAATATTAATGATAGGTTGGAACATTATGGAGAGAAGAATACCAGTACTCACCAGTAATTCGACTAAGGATAATAATGCAAACATCTATAAGCACTCATTTCCACAGCCCATAATAAGAATTTCCCAGACCATGAAAATCGAGGACATTTAAGCAGGCACAAATTTATATACTAAGGCAGAAATGAAGTCTAGGTTGCTCTAATTCTAGCACACATATCTGCATAACCCACTTGGTGCAAAGATAAAAGCTATGAGAAAAATACTTCAACTGACTGCTGCATAGAGTACATACAGATAAACAACATGCCCATGAGCAGTTATAAATATAAGAACACAGAAGTAAAAATTTGAGGCATTGCAGCATCATCTTTTTGACCTCTTATACACAGCAGCTATCTGTTCTATTACATTTATTGTATATTAGTATCCATCATGACTAATGTAATGTGTCAACCGAACGAAAGCTCCAATTTGAAAGTAAACATTATCCGTTCAATCATTCATAAAGGTTCCTAACTTTTGCAATGTGAAACAATGTCATTTGCACAGCCTGAGAGAGATAGAAACAGTAAAAGGCATTCAATATTTCTTCATCTATTTCCCCTTGTCTAACAAAAAAAGAGTCAAGAGCCTTCTTAACACAATATTGCAGAATAATTTACTCCAAAAGAGCTTGCATTCTGCAGTAAAGCAGCTGCCAGCATATTTACACAAAATATTACACATCACAAAAGTACAACAGTAAAGCATAAAAAGGAGCACACATGACAGCATTTTACTATTATTTGTAATATTCAAAAACCACCTCGGTCTCCCAATGCGCCATTGTATAAAAAGATTTCCTTTTAAAACCTAACATGAAGCGTTAGTCGATGTGGGTGATCAAATCATCCTGCTGACATCAACTGGGACGGTTATCACAAAATGGGCACCCCTGGCATCTGTGTACAATGAAATGAAGGGATTCGTTACAAAACTTAGAAAACTGCATCATATGGGTCATATTTAATATGAAAGTAGTGCTTTCAAAGAAAGCTACAGAATCCTTCAAGTAGAACCAACTTCTGTAATAGCATACATTGTTTCCGAAACGTTCGAAACATTTCGGCATTGTTGCCTGAACAATTGGTGCTATTAGGGAAACCAAACATTATATAATCTCAACCAGCTTGTATTACCATCAGTGGGAAAACGTTTTTTTCCTCAAAACAGAATTAAACGCATAAAGTGAGAAAATGTAATGTTTTCTAGAGAGGATGCACTGCACTACTATGGTGTCCAGCATCGCCTAAAGCTACTACTGGAAGTTCTTTTTGGCAGGTCATCCTCCCACCCCAATAGCCAAGATCAATTCACATTCCTATGTGAACAAGGCTACGCATAATAAACATACATCCTTAAATAAAATATGTGCATTGGTTCTCCACTCACTTGAAGCAAAAGAAACCTACATCGTAATACGCTTTCATACTTAAATACTTAAGGCATCTACCATCTCGCACAACAGAATCACAAGGCACTGCCACCGACCTGTCAGCCTGGCACTGCCACCGACCTGTCAGTGCTGGCATGACGCCCCAAAACTCTGCGACAAACTCACAGCCTCCTCCACCATAAGGCTCCACTAGTGGGACATACACTATGTCTCGAACATGCGCTCAACGCTGTTGTTCAGAACCCTCTCAAACATGCGCTCGGCACCAATATTTCAAAATGCCTCAAACATGCACTCAAGCACCGTTACTCTAAAGCACCAAAACACCTTTCAGACGCGGAAAATCTTGCGCCACAGATAGCCTGCAGCGCGGCCATCACGCAACAACATCACATAAGGCAACGCAACGCCATCCACCCGTCTCACCGCAATTTGGTGGGTATAGAAGGCAAGAAGGCTGAAGCTTTCGGTATCACAGCAAGGCGCGAGATCAATTTTAGGACTGATGTACTGGTCTCGCATTGTGTAAGTAAGGCATATGCAGCGGACTTCAGTGAAAGTTCCCTGAATGCGAAAGATGTTTAAGTTAATTCAAGTGATTAAAAGAATTAAAAGAGCATAGGTTTTTCACTAGAAAATATCACTGCAGTGGTTCTGGCGAACATGCGGATATCTGTCAATTTATTTTTCTTATTTGAAGTTGTTTCGTTCAACTTCAAAACAGCCGACGCGCTTCAAATGAAAAACAAGCAATCGAAATGTGAAATGACGCACCAGCCAACTTGATTCAAGCACCTGCACATATGTACACAAAAAGTGCACATGCCCAGCACGTTGGATGTAACTAGGCTCTTACATGCTATGCTCTTGCAGAAATATAAATCTCGTACATCAAATTTCATTGTAACTGCCTGGCACTCTCACACATGTTTCTTTTTATACTGAGGTTACAGCGAGTTTGAAACATTCGGAAGTCTTGACCCAGGCTCTGGAGCTTTAGTTTCCGAGGCATCTGAGGTAGATTGGTGCTACCTTCTATGCCTGCCAAATTGCGGTGAGAATGCAGGCGACACTGGCAGCGCTGTTTAACAGGCGAGCGGCTCACGAAGCGAGAACTAGAAAGGACAGCACTTTCGCCAGCAGCTGACGGGCGCCTCAGTTGTTGCGTCTCGCTGCGACCTTGCAAACGCCAGGAAGATCTGCTCGAGCGTCGTGTCGCTAACGATGTAATCTTCGAAGGAAAGCTCCTGCTTCAGAGCCTCCAGGGTCTCGAACAATTGGCTCCACCTCAAGCTAGTGTCGGTGACGTGGAAGTGGAGCAAAGCCTGGAAAGACAAGAGAGCGAGTATGACCCAGAAGTTCGGCAAGCATATTCACTACATATCCATATCCACAGTTCCGTGGCCTGAATGTGCTAAATTACCAGACAACGAATTAAACTAAGAAACATCCTGATGAAACATGGACTGTTTATAAGGTAAGCGGGCAGAGTCATGAATACCTGCACTGAAAGCGGTACCACCCAACCAAAACAACCTTTTTCAAAGACTTGTGCAAAACATGTAGAGCGCAGCCTCGTATGCCCGAGAAACAGGACATGCGATGCGAGGTGCTTATAATCATTTGAATTTCTAAATGTTAAAAAATTAAAGTCGAGAAACCCAGACTTAAGACCACCTCGATTATGCACATTAAAAACCGTATTTACCCCCGTAATGAACCCATTCACATAATGAACCCACCCCTCACCTTGATCCTTGAAAAAAGAAAAAAAAAAACTTTTTTTAATGTACCTGTTCATTTTGTTTTGGTATGATAGCCAGTGCCATTAATGATCGAAACAATCCTAAATCAAGCCATTATATTGCAAAATAACAACATATTGAAAGCCAAAGATAATTTTGCAACCACGCTAAACATGACGATAGTTATAGCGCGAGAACAAAACGACGACACAGAGACAAGAAGGACACGAAAGGCACCTTCTTGTCCTTCTTGTCTCTGTGTCGTCGTTTTGTTCTCGCGCTATAACTATCGTCATGCCATACCAACTAGCCCAAGCTGCCACACTTCTAAGCCACGCTAAATAGTTGCGAGCAGTGCAAGCACGGTACGACCTCAATCAAAATTTGAAAGTCGGGCCTTGTACGACAAAGCGCCATATGTCGAATGCAGGAGAAACCTATTTGCTGATAGCGCCACGAAAGCACAGCGGCACAAAAATGAAGCGCGTCGCGTCCAGAATGGCGCTTGCACTGCGTCATGAAACATGCCGCGCGCTCGCCATCTCCGACTTATGCAAAACGCAACCGCACCCACCGCGCCGACGGCGCATTGTGCCCCCACAACGTTTACTACAACGTTTGTGTGCCTCCATTCGACGCGGCGTTGTTGTTGTTGGGCTGCGCAGGGCGCGTCAGGCTGGTACGCTAGCTACACGGCTGGTTACTACTGGTTACTAACAGCAAGCGCTGGAGCATTGGAACCGAGCGGCTGGATGACACTTCGGCTGTTGATCCATGCACTTTCGTTACTAAACAAAACAAAAAGTTTTTGGCTACAAAAAAAATTTGTCGGGCAGTTCATGGCTCAAAACAAGCAAAGTAGTCACCCGAAATTTTCGCTGTTAAAACTCCAGTGACTTTTTTTTTTCTCCTGCGTAATGAACCCTCCCCGCAAATTGGAGTCAACTTTTCTGGAAAAAAGGTGGGTTCATTACGCGAGTAAATACGGCAGAAACTATGTAGAATCAAGACTGAAATTTTGCCCACTAAAAGGTCCAGATCGGGCGCCTTCATGATGTCTAACACACTGCAATTGAATCGACATCCACCGTTTGAGTGTTACACATGCCACCCATGCCCATGTTTTCTTTCACAATATAGTGCCCATACTTTTAAGCACAGCTACCACAGTTTCATTGATTCCTTAACAAAACACAACTTTGACAGCCCGAGGCCACTATCCAAGAGCAATCAACGCTGATGAGGCCTAGCCCGCAGTGTGGTATATTGTCGTGGAAAGTTTGTCCATGACAATGTGAAAATCGGGCATTCAAAAAGGTCACAGTTTCGGCACAAGGCTGAAGCAATGAATGTGATAGCAACACACTGGGGTGTTACACGAAGGCTACGAGATTTAGGCCGAAGCAATGAATGTGATAGAAACACACTGGGGGTGTTATATGAAGGCTAAGAGATTGAGGAACCATACATAATGTAGCGATCACGGTTGATTGAGCTTGAATTGACAGTAATGCAGTAACCACAATATCTCAACAGGTGCTGTTGTGAATAGTAACACTAGTAACAGATTGTGCAATGCGCATTCTAAATACAGCAGCTCGCACTGGACTCGCTGCATTCTTGTGTTAGACTACCGTATTTACTCGATTCTACCGCGCCCTCGATAGTAACGCGCACCCGGTTTCCACGACGGAAAAAAAAAAGTAAGACATCGATTGCAATGCGCACCCATTTTTCTCGTTGGCACACACGATCACACCACTCGTGAAAAAGACTCCTTTCGGGAGCGTCTTCTGTTTAAATATGAGGTACGGGGGAAGCTTGTGCCTATCTGATGTGCAACGGAGCATTGCTGTCACTCTAGTTTTACCATGGCCCGATGTCAGCACGCGAACTTGCTTCGCCCCCTTCTTGACGGTTGTGGTGCCAGGCATGTTGAAGTAAAGAGGCGTCTGATCGGCATTCCTGATTTGCCCAAGCAGGGAGCCGTTGTTGTGTCAGGACGAACCTCTGAAAACTGAAGCTTTCCTTCGTACTCCTCCGGCAACTTTTTGCATAAGCCCGTTCGCCTTCAGAGGGAAAAGCCTTTCCTCTTCATAAAATTAGTTAGCCAGCACCTGCTCACTTTAAACTGGCTCCGCATTAGCCCTTTTTATAAGGCTAACTGTATAGCCTGCACTTGGAGCAGTTCTGTCATCACGGGCCGCTGTGCCGCTCACTGCTCAATCACATATTCGCCGAGCAGCTCTTCAATTTGCGGAAACCGACCCTGCTGTGGTCCGCCGAAGCCTTTGCGTGAATCTTTGCTGTCGACAATATTCTAGTTTTGTTCCCGCCAGTCCCGCACGCATGTTTTGGGAACTCCGAACGACCACGCTGCAGCCCGATTTACGTCCATTTCGGCACACGCGATGACTTTTCTTTTAAAAGCGGCATCGTGGTGCACTCCTCGAGTTTTTAGAGTAGGCCCCTCCATGCCATCGATACTAATGCGCACCAAGATGACAAACTCCTCAGCACAAGTGCGAAGTGCCGCACATGGGAAACCCATAGGCAGAAACGGCCGACGCGCCATGCCGACGCACATGGAGGAATGCCGACCCACGTAGGGGGTGGCCATTTTGGAAAGCCGATAGCAATAGAATGATCGTATTCATTTTTTTTTTTCGTACTCGATTCTAACGCGCATGCGATTTATGAACTCGCTTAACCGGAAAAAAGGTGCGCGTTAGATTAGAGTAAATACGGTATTTCCCGTACAAAATTCGGAAGCCACCATCTTTGATTGTTAGCATACGTTTTCTCGCTCTTGTATACTACGACCCAAACTATTAAAGCCACAAAACATTGTATGTGCCAACCCAACTGTGTTTATGTGTGTGTCTACTGTAACACTGTTCATTTAGATGTTAAAGATACAAAACACAAAAGTTGACGGCTCAATCTGACAGGGCTCACACACCCATCAGTACGATAGTCTTAATTCGTGTTTGTTGATTTCAAATATGATAATATTGTATTCAACGTCCTCGAATGTCCGCACATGCCTTTTGAAAGAGAGTACTATATTTGCCACGCTACTTCACCTGATGACTGTCCCTGAGCACACAGTTGCCAGGAAACTTTGCCAGCATGGCAGTGCAGATGGCCGGCACCGCATTAGGGCTGGCTGCCTGCTCTTGTCCCATCTTGACGATGACCGTGAAGCCGTCACCAAACTTTGATTTGAGGTGCTGTATCGATCCGAGGCACCGGAAGGACCCATTGACCATGATGGATATCCTCTGGCAAAGGGCCTCGCACTCCTCCATGCTGAAATGTGCCAGAAAGTGGAGAGAAAGAATCAGCGAGTCAACAGGCGACGAGACTTTGTTGCTTCATAGGAACATGCATCTGAATAATAAGATTTTCAAGAGTGAAGCTCTTTCAAAGGGCCCTGCATTGCCTTTCAGACTCCCCTCTGCAGTGCTGAAGTGAGTGTACTGCTGAATGTTGAGATGAATGCAAAATAGATTGTCGGAATCGGTAGATGCTAACAGAAGTTATTGTTCTTTAAATTTCAAAACACCGGTAGACGAGACAAAAACATTCCATTGTGCTTTTCATTCTTCCATAGATGCCAAAGGCCAGTTCCAATAAGCACAAAGAGTGTGGCGCATCTACAGTGGATCAGTTACTTCCATTGCCTATGAGAACTGCGAGACAGTTCGTGTGGCTTTCCGAGCCTATTAGTAATGTGAAGCAAGCAGCAAAAGCAATAACCTGTGACTGGTAAGGATGACAGCGGCCCCCATAAGCTTCTGCACATCGTCCAGTCCCTGCCAGATCTTGCGCCGTGCTGCTGGGTCCACGCCCGCGGTGGGTTCGTCCAGGAACACCACTGGAGGGTTGCCGATCAGCGCCATGGCAATAGACAACTTACGCCGACTCCCACCACTATGTGCAGAAGGTGGAGAAGAAAGAGAGCAACACTGTAAAATACTAAACTTGATACACTAGCATTAGTGTTGTTGTTGTTGTCTTTATTTCAGACAAATGTATGCTTCGGATACAAGGGCAAAAGGCAGATGTCCTCTGCCTGACGAGACCCAAGTACCCGAAAGCACCACTCAGAGCATGGTCAAAGAAATACAATATAACACACTAATAATGCATGCGTAACATTGTTTTTGTGCAGAGTAAATGGAGTACATACTTGTACAGTAATAAAGAAAGAGTCATAACCTACAAATAACGAAACCAGAGAAACATATGACTGCTATATATAGAACTTATCAATCTTGAGGACAGGATAGAAGGTAAGCTTTGATATATTTTTTGAAAGATTTCAGAGACAAAGATTTCTGAGTATGTTTGTTGAGAAGACTGGGAATTAAATATGTAAGTGCTTGCCTTCCATAGGTGGTTCGGACAAGTGGAATTCTATAATGGCCGCATCTTAATTCATAAGGCACATTGCTTACTAGATTGCAGTTCAATATATCTAGAAGGATTAAGCTGTTGTTAATCTGTTGTCTGTTGTTAATGTGTTGTCTCATCAGAGACAACAGAAAGCTTGGGAGGAAGGAGAGGCGCATCTTTGACTAAAGGAATGCTTCAAGCTTATGAGAGTTGAGGAAAAATGCCTCATAACACAGCAGAGAATCAACACCTTTCAGTGTTTGATCAGTGTCATTTAAGGTAATCTAATGAAGACCATGGAACACTATTTGTCCAGTCATTCTAGAATTAAATTCCGGTACATCAAACCTGAAGGCAATTCAAAATAATTTAACACGAGAGGCAGGCTCTAGATAGTAGTAAAGTTCTCAGCACGACAGTGGGCTATTCTGCACATTCTCTCAGCTTCCATGGATGGCTGCTTTGTAGCAAAGCCTCTTAAAGGAAACCTATTTGCTTTGAAGGGCAAACAAGGTTCTTATTACATGAGCTGTCCATATATTCATACACTTACACCGCTAATCTTTCCTCTACAGCGTGCATTTTCTTTCCTGTACTCTATCTGACAGCATCTGCCAAAACGATCAAGCTTTGTTGGCACGAATACCCCTAAAGATGTAGAAGCGATCACACTACTTTTAGAAGAAGCCTACTTGTAGGTGTTTTGTGCAGTGCAGCATACAATAGACTGAAGCCTCAAAATAACCAAGTTTTACACAAAAATAATTCTCTATATCCAAAAATTCACTATAAAAGTACAGTCCTAACAGCTATCTGTAATTGCAGTAGTAGTCTTAATTTACCTTGTTATAACCAACATTTCATTATATCTAGGTGCATTATACCACGGTATGAGTGTATATCGAAAACAACAGGACATGTTTTTGATACACTGATCGCAAAGTGCTGACCTTCCTGTTTCTAAGGGTATATTACAGCTACTGCTTGATACAGATAGTATCACTAAATACAGTAAACTCTCATTAAATGGAACCTGAAGGGACTGGGAAAATGTGTTCCATTTGATAGGGGTTCCATATACTGAGAGGTGAAATGGGTTGCAGCATTCTAGTATGAAACCAATCATATCAGAGGAAGCTGTTCCATTTAAGCAGCAGTTCCATTTAACAGATTTCGTTTACTGAAATTCTACTGTATGTAGGTTCTATATGACTGGGTTCAACGTTATATTAATGTAGGATTTGCAAGTTATAAATGTGTAACCTAAGATCTGCCTGTACGGAACAGAGATCTACAAGAAGAGACACACCTGTAAGCCTCTGTAGGCTTGTTGGCATGGGCCTGCAGGTCTGCCAGGTTGATCATGTAGTTGACGACCGACGGAACACGGTGTGTGGGGACGCCTCGGATGAGAGCGAACAGCTCCAGTGTCTCTCGTCCTGTCAGTTTGTCTATTTGGGCATCAAACTGTGGGCAGTAGCCAATCTTCGACTGAAACTGAAAATTGGGGAAGGAAAAAAGCGCAAGTTGTATTTCTGAGGCTGTACTGTTGTGCTGAAATTATAATTTTTCTACCCTAAAAATGAATATGATCAGAAACCAAACTGACAGTTTTTATGGCCTCATTGATTTAACTAATATATAGCGCATTCATGGGTAAGAAGAAACAACCGTGCAGACAGACACAAGAGGACAGAAGACTAACTTAGCTTAGCGCTCTGTCCTCTTGTGTCGGTCTGCTCAGCCATTTCTTCATTACCCTAGCGTGCTATACCAATTGTAAGTATCACAACTAAATCTCCCAATCTTCAGCACTGATTGATTGATAAATTGAAATAACTTTAATGAGGTTCTGCGGGATGCACCCTAGCGCAGTGGGCAACTCCCACGTCGTGACCATCAGAACAAGCTTGTCGCTTGTTTTGCGGGTGCCTGCTGGACAGCCCAAAGCTGGTCAGCCAAAAGCAGGCCGTGCATGGCCGCCTCCCACAATGGCCATAAGAAGGCACCTACCGTATTTACTCCCATAATCCTCGAACTTTTTTTTTTTGCCGGAAAACCGATGCAAAGTTGGGGCGCGCGAGAATTCCGTGGGAGAAAATTTCCACGAAAACGTAGAAAGCGACAAAGAAAACTAAGTGGCCGTAAATCGGGATTCTCACACCAGCAACTTACAGCAAGCTTTAAGAAGTACTAATTAAAACTTACCTCAACAATAAAAGCAGAGGTTCGACACAAGGCAAGATTTATTTGAGACACAAAAAGTACAAGCATAAAGTCGAGAACTAGAATACCATACGCAAAGCTTGTGCGCGTTGCGGGCGTAGCGGTAGCGTTCGTCGCTCAACAGGAGCCCTCAAAAGGTAAGCGTACGACGTCAGTATTGGGCTGATGGCTATTTAATAGAATCGTCCGCAGTTTCCTTCTGAAGAAATGAAGTTTACCATCTATCCCAGTTTTAGGCACACGGCAGGCCCAACGCGTCTTGGTGGCTTTCAGCTGCCGCAACAAGTAGCGAACACAACACTCGTAGGCTTCGACGGGCCTACCGGTGGCCCTGTTGCCGTTGTTTAGTGCATGATCTATCACTTGCAACTTGAAGCAGCCATGTAGCTTTAGTATAGCCCCATAACGTGCCAAGATTACCAACACAACATACAAAACACGCCGCAACGCGCACTTGCCACTTTGGCTTGGCTTGGATTGGATTGAATCTCCGTGCAATAATACGTTTGATGCTTAAGAGATGGCACTAGATCGTGCGCTATCATCATGAGTGGCTGGAACAAGCAGACGACATTATTGCGGCAGTTTTCAACTTTTCGGGGGGTGCGATAATTCCTCGAGGAAAAAAAAATATCGTATTTTTCTTGGGCGATGTGGGGTGTATGAGAATTATATGAGTGTGAGGATTACGCAAGTAAATATGATACTAATGTGGACTTCTCCCTGAATGTGCGGCACACTTTGTCTGCACAGTTCTCAGGGTATATTGCATTCAGTGTACACAGATTCCGGTTTGTATCCATCTGTAGCAGTCTCAATGTAAGTGGCCGAGGCTGACTGAGTTTCAAGTGAGGAGGATAGTACTCTCTCTCACAAGGTAACACACTCAAACCTCATTATAACAAAGTTGCATCTCACACAAAAATAAGTTCGTTATATCCAAAAATTCGTTTAAAGGTGTATTCCCAACACTACATATACCGTAATTACTCGAATCTAACGCGCACCTTTTTTCCGGTTAAGCGAGTTCATAAATCGCATGCGCGTTAGAATCGAGTACGAACAAAAAAAATTACGGCCAATCTATTGCCATCGGCAAATCTAAAATGGCCGCCCCCTACGTGCGTCGGCATGGCGCGTCGTCCATTTCTGCCTATGTGTTTCTCATGTGCGGCACTTCGTACGTGTGCTGAGGAGTTCGTCATCTAGTAGTGCATTAGCATCGACGGCGTGGAATGGCCGACTCCAAAAACGCGAGTGCACCACGATGCCGCTTTTAAAAGAAAAGTCATCGCGTGTGCAGAAACGGACGGAAATCGGGCCGCATCGCGGTCGTTCGGAGTTCCCGAAATGTGCGTGCGGGACCGGCGGAAACAAAAGCAGAAGATTTTCGACAGCAAAGCTTTACGCAAAGGCTTCAGTGGACCACAGCAGGGTCGGTTTCCGCAAATTAAAGAGCTGCTCGGCGAGTATGTGCTTCAGCAGCGAGCAGCACAGCGGCCCGTGACGGCAGAACTGCTCCGAGTGCGGGCTATGCAATTAGTCTTAGAAAAATGTCTAATGCGGAGCCAGTTTTAAGCGAGCAGGTGCTGGCTAACTAACTTTATGAAGAGAAAAGGCTTTTCCCTCCGAAGGGGAACATGCATATGCGAAAAGTTTTGCGGAGGAGTACGATGAAAAGCTTCACAGTTTTCAGAGGTTCGTCCTAAACTTGCGGCGCAACAACGACTACCTGCTTGGGCAAATCGGGAATGCCGATAAGACGCCTCTTTACTTCGACATGCCTGGCAACACAACCGTCGAGAAGAAGGGGGCGAAGCAAGTTCGCGTGCTGACGTCGGTCCACGGTAAAACTACAGTGACGGCAATGCTCTGTTACACGTCAGATGGGCACAAGCTTCGTCCGTACCTCATATTTAAATGGAAGACGCTCCCGAAAGGAGTCGTTTTTTCGAGTGGTGTGATCGTGCGGGCCAGCGAGAAAAAATGGGTGCGCATTGCAATCGATGTCTTACGTTTTTTTTTTTTTTTCGCGGTGGAAATCGGGTGCGCGTTACAATCGAGGGCGCGGTAGAATCGAGTAAATACGGTATTCCAAAACTGCCGTATATACTCGTGTAAGGGCCGCACTTTTTTTTCGAAAATTTTGCTAGGTGCGGCCCTTACACGAATCAGGCCGATTTAGTACAGGCAGTACAGGCCAAAGGTCTGTACTGTTTATGCAACAGTAGCAGAGTGCAAGAGTCACAAATGACATGCCAGAAATGTTTTTATTCGGATTCCATTTCGCTGTCCTCGTTCTCGGAGGAGCTCGCCTCGGCGTCCGCGTCTTCCCAGAGACGGTCATCTTCGGTGCCGTTCATGGAGTTCGAAATTCCCGTTACCTTGAAGCTTTTAGCAACTACTTCTACTGACATGGCACGCCACGCATTCAAAATCCATTCACACACCTGTTGGAGCGACGCCCGCTTCAGCCGTCCTGTAGGGGTCTTCTCGTGGACGCCTCCAGCCATCCATTCAGAGTAACATCGGCGAAATTCCACTTTGAATGGTCTGTTGACGCATACGTCGAGCGGCTGCAGCACACTCGTCAGGCCACCGGGAATGACGGCCAAGTCCGTACGAGTTGCGGCAACTCGGTTCTTGACGCGGTCGGTCAAGTGGCCCCTAAAGCTGTCCAAAACAAGGAGGGCTTTCCGTTGTAACAGCCCTCCAGGTCTGTTTGCCCAGACGGTCTTAATCCAGTCAACGACCAGTTCCTCGGACATCCAGCCCTTCTCTTGCGCACGTACGACGATTCCCTGAGGGAACTTCTCTTTTGGGAGAGTCTTCCTTTTAAATACGACGTACGGCGGAAGCCTCCTGCCGTCTGCCGTGATGCACAACATCACAGTGCACCTTTGGCGTTCTGCACCAGTCGTGCGCACAGACACACTTTTCGCACCTTTTAAATCCACTGTGGTGCTTTCCGGTGCATCGAACCACACAGGTGTCTGGTCCGCATTCCCAATTTGGGACAGGTCGTATTCATGCTCCCTCCTGAGAGCATTCACGAAGCGATGAAACTTAATGACGTGGTCTTCGTACTCGCGCGGCAGTTTTTGGCAAATCGTCGTTCGGCGCCGAATAGAAAGCTGGTTACGGTTCATAAACCGCGTAGCCCAGCCCCGACTTGCCTTGAATTGTGCCGGGGGTATTTCCATGTGGCGAGCGATGCTGAGGGCTTTGACGCGTATCATGTCAGTCGATACGGCGTAGCCGTCCCTTCGTGTGTCGACGACGTAGTTGACGAGCTCGCTTTCGAGTTGCGGGTACTTGCACTTTTTTCCCGCGAAACGCCTTTCGGCTCCTGTTAGTAGCGGCGAGGGCATCTTTCTGATTCATCCAGTAACGCACGCGCTTCTCATCGACGTCGTACTTTCGTCCAGCTTCCCGCTTCCCGTGCTCCTCGGCATAGTCAATCACTTGCAGCTTAAATGCTGCAGTGAATGATCTCAGATGCCGGCCCATCGTCCGTCACGTGCGCTGGCTTCTGCAGGGTTCACTACAACCAACAAAGTGACACCGACGACACCGATCTGAAGTCGCGCTGCCAACGTATCGACACGATGCTAGGAACGATGCCAACAAAGAGGCCGCACAAGGCAAATATGGCGGCGCGCTGTCAACAGCGTGGTCGGCGCGTCGGCGGAAGTAGAATAAAAGCGGAAAAGCGTGCAGCGCCATCTGGCTGTAAATGAACTAACTACACTTTTCTGGCGGGACATTTTGAACTTTTGTTTTTTTTTTTCGAAATATCCGCTTTCAAAGTTGGGGTGCGGCCCTTACACGAGGGCGGCCCTTACACGAGTATATACGGTGTTCTTCATTTACTTCATCATAACCGATGTTTCATTATAACAAGGTTTGAGTGAAGTGCTTCGTAATTTCATTGTAGGTAGCAGGTACGATCCTTCTGTGCAAACCCTCACCCTCGTCCAGCTCGGTGCCAGCCCGATAGCCTGAGATTTGATTCTACTGATGCAAAAATAGAACTTGAATTGTGTTTCAACAAAACAGATGCTTAAATATAAACTATTTAAGATTCATAACAATAAGCGCACAAATCCATGTACTATGTGTACTACCACAAGACATTTGTAGCCGCTGAGTATTGAAGCCTTGAAATAAGGTTGAGTAAATTTCATGCATTTATAGACAGTTCTTCACAGGGGCCACCAGAAAGGGTTAAAGCAGGACAGCTCACCTCCTTAAGATCTTTCTGAAGGCTAGCTTCGCCGAGGTACGCATTGCCCGAGCTCATGGGGAGGTCACCGGTCAGCATCCTGAAGGTCGTTGTCTTGCCCGCGCCGTTGACACCCAGCAGACCGAAGCATTCATTCTTGTGCACGGCAAAGGTCAGGTTGTCCACAGCCTATAAAAGTGAGACAAGGCAGCAGGAAAAAAACATTCCTGCATTGCTCTGGATTCTTCATATGGCACTCTATCTGTACTGTCAATATGCATTTATTTTATTTATTACTATTATTTTCTTAGTACCATGGCATCTACACAAAAGCTTAGGCAAATGCGGTGAAGTTATCATATGCCTGTTTTGGCACATACCTTTATGTACACGTCATCCTATCTGGGGTTTTACGCCCCAAAACCACAATGTGATTATGAGAGACGCAGTAGTGAAGGGCTTGGCAAATTTTGCCCATCTGGTGTTCTTCAACGTGCACCGACATCACACAGTACACGAACGTCTACCATTTCGCCTCCATCGCACTGCGATGGAGGCGAAATGGTAGACGTTCCACGAACCCACGACCTTCGGGTAAGCAGCCGAGCATCCTTGCCATTTATCCACCGAGGCGGACTACATTTATATACACAATCGCCCACACCCAAAGTGACTACATTGTTACTATTCATTACTTCGTAAAGCCGCAGTTTACAATGTAATTTGGGTAATTTTTCTTGCTTTCACCGACAACGTAACTAGACATCACATAACAGACATTTCCATCATGAAGTAAAATAGACATGCTAGTTTTACCGGCTAGAACACTATAGCGAAGTGTTCACCTAAGATGTGGTTGATGCTGTTCATGTTTCTTGCGTTACAATGAAGCACCTATAACATGTGTACAGAGCTTTCAGTATATGCTGGAGACCCTTGCACATTAAAAGATTTCACTGAATACCAACCCCACCCCCTTTCCTACTTGCGGTTATAAAAACTAAGTAAAGCAACTGTAAATGGATAGCAAGCATAGTATCGGTACTAATGAAACAGCTTAGTAAAGTTGAGGCATTGGTTAATGCTCACATTTTTGTATTAAGAGCCCTTAAAATAGCCCTTACCCTATGACTCATGCATCAGCAAACAAGACCAAGCCGAAAACATGGCTTCTGAGATATTTGAGGGCAATTGGTGCACAATATCCCTGGGGTTATACCAAGGCCCCTCTGCAGGGTATTATGGTTCAATCTACTACACTGCTGCCAGCAAGCAGTTTTCAGCCTGACTGTTTAGTTTTTAGCTTTGGCATCAGAGGTGCATGCTTTGTGAATTTCCAATGCATTGGCTTGCATTTCAGAGGTAAAATTCTGCACATAAGCTGCTCTGTATCCAAACTACATGTTCTTGCTCTACTTTTACATCCATAGGTGAATGAACAAAATTGTTCTTCTTCACAAGACTAGGCTCTTCATGCTGTCGAGAATTTCATCAGAAACGGTATTGTGGGCATTTTCTCAGCCCATATAGACCACAAATGTCACACCGCCGTAAACTGGGCAAGCGCTACATGCAAATTGATCTACTGCTGCAAAAGAACAGCAACACAAAGGTTACCTGAAGAGATCGAAAGTTCTTCCTCAGGTTGAGCACAGCCAGCGCTTCTTGTGCCGCACTGCCTCTCTGGACCAACGCTTCAACTACAGCGCGCTCGGCCGCCACATCGTCATCCTCTGTCGCACCCGGTGTGTGGACGCCCAGCTCGATATCTGTAAGTGAAACCGTTGCCCCGTCTTAGGGAGCACAGAGTCCATTAAACTACAGCCGAACGCGAACATATCGAACCCAGGTATATTGCAGTACTGTCTAGAAGCACGATGTTCTGACCAAATTATCTGTCTGGTAGGGCTAATTATTTATAGCTGTGGTCGTAATGGCACACTCAAAACACCAGGGACAGCCTTCACAATACCAAAAGAAGCCTTCCATCGGCCTATAGTACTTGTTTAAGCACAGCCAGAATATAAGTAACGTGTGCCTAGAGGTAATTGTCAAGTCTACGACGGTCCCCAGCCTACCAATTCTACATTGCAAAAAAAAAAAACAGAAGAATCTCAATACCCACTTCTTTCCTATTCCACACTACAATTATAGAAGGCACAGGAAAATTGAGTCTTGAAATTTCTCTTGTCCCTACCACTGAAGAAGGAACAGAGCTGCTTCCGAAACATAGCCAGAATGAGCTCGCCTTTTGCTCGGAGTCGCTTAAAAATCACAAGTATTATCAACATGAAACATTTTCAAGATCTCCTGAGAAATTTCATAAAATTTTAGTAATGTGCTACGCATGTACCAAGAACATTCAATGCACATGCCAGAAACATCGAATGCTAGGCCATGCTGCACCTTTGTGAGCGCTCATGTTTTTGATTGATATGTGGGGTTTAACGTCCCAAAACCACCATATGATTATGAGAGATGCCGTAGTGCAGGGCTCCGGAAATTTTGACCACCTGGGGTTCTTTAACGTGCACCCAAATCTGAGCACACGGGCCTACAACATTTCCGCCTCCATCGGAAATGCAGCCGCCTCAGCCGGGATTTGATCCCACGACCTGCGTGTCAGCAGCCGAGTACCTTAGCCACTAGACCACTGTGGCGGGGCGAGCGCCTCATGTTTTAACAACATTGCAGTCGCCCCTCTTGTTGGTCTATAGCAACCGAACAGGCCTCTGTAGGTGTATGCTGTGAACACCGCCAATGAATCTGATGGCAATTTCGTTCCATGGAGTTTAAAAGTTATGCATCTCAAACGGTTGAAACAGTGAAGGTATTTCTGCACTTCCCAAAAGCATGCTTTAGTACTGCATTGGCGGTGTCCACAAGAACACCGCATTTCACATTGTGTACATATGCAGAAGTTTGCACATGTGCTTTATGTGAAATGTGTGGTCATTACATAAACAATGCTGTTACGAGTACAACGTGTAATGCTCTAAAGCTCTATAATGATGAATGTGTTTGAGTAGGCTTCACAGCAACACATATTCCGAGACATTACAGCAAATGCTACTACATAATAACAAGAACAACCAACTCTCAGGCCTAGTACAGTTGAACCCCTTTATAAGGCATGCTCCGGGCAGTAATTTTCGTCTTTCATATGAACTGTCTCTTACAAGCAGGGTACCTCGTATGCATTTTCTTATCAATCCGTGCTTTATTGTAGGCACACTGGTGTCTGTTATACCCATTTGTGTCTTATATCACTGTCTCCTATAAAAGGGTTCGACTGTATATAACATGGGGCTCAATGCCTCTTGTATCAAATTACTGCCACATACACTAACTAAACCTCAATATAACAAAGCCCCATTTGCCACAAGAATACTTAGCTATATCCTAAAATTTGTTATAAACAACCATTTGTAAACCTATCTATGGCGAAGCTATTGGTCACTTACCTCGTTATAACCAATAATTCCTTATACAGTAGACATTTATTAAAGGGAACCTGAAGTGACCAGAAAAATATGTTAATTTAACAGGAGTTCCGTTCACTGAGAAAACATAGGTGCAGAATGCAAGCCCGAAACTAACCATAGCAGAAGAAATAGTTTCGTTGAAGCACTAGTTAAGCTTAATATATTTCCGTTTACTGGGAGTCTACTGTATATGAACTTGTTTTATCGAGGTTTGAGTGTAATCCCCTTAGGATTTGATACATCTGGCTTTAAGGGGGGAGGCTACCATCGGATACCAACTTTTTTGTTTATTGAGATATGTTAATGAAATTTTCAGGATAGACTTATAGCAAAAGCATTAGAAGAACTACAAAATTTCATCAAGTTATGTTCACTGGTTTTCAAGTTACAGCAGAATATCAGGGTAGTGCACATGGTTCTCTTATTCCAGGCCTGGAGAACTTTCAAAAGGTGCTGGAACTGTGAAATTAACTATGATGATTCCCAGATTGATACTCCAGGGGGGTAACAGAGCCCTTTTTTTTTTTAATTTCCTTGCTGAAAAGTTTTACCAGACCATCAAACTTTGTGTTCGTGATTAGGATATTATCAATCAAATTTTGATTAAATATAATAAATAACACACACAATATATTGAAAAAATGGGCTTGTCACCCCCTCAGAAATTTATTCATGTACATAATAAAAAAAGACTTATGGAAATCCAATGAGTGGTTCCAGAGATATGGCTGGAATAAGCAGCCTCACTAGCCAAAAAAGTCATTTTGAGAAAACGACGTTTGAAAGTTTTGAGCACATAGGCAGTTCTAAAATGAACCTGCAGCGTAACTGGAGGTGTCCTTTGGCACTCTCTTTCTTTGCCGCCTTTCCATCTTCTCTAGGGATCGCTTCTTAGCCTTTTTCAAGCGCAGAGAATCTTTCTCGGCTGCCCGTTGAATGGCCAGGTGGCCAGGTGTTAGCCCCACTGATGAAGCTAGCTCTTGGGTGGCCCTGTAGCAGCCAGCATTGTATCTTGGCACTGCATCATGCAGTGCTGTCTCCACAGCAATCAGTGACGCATGCTGCTCTTTGGGCATTAGGGACCACAGCACAGAGTGAAAGGACTCTGATGCATTCTGCGTCTTTGCTCCCAAGCAGCGTTGCAGAAGAGAAGTCTGTGAGAGCCTCTCATAAATGGGTAGAAGTGCATCTGCAACATAGCGTGGCAGCTTGTACGAATGCTTCGGAGGTGGAACACCAGTAATCTTGCTGGCATTGTGACAACACCAGGAGTCTGCACCCTCTGGGCACAAGTCGTGGTGCGGCTCCTGATCCGTCGACGTCACATGGTGGTACGATGCCATCACTGCCCGCCGCATTGCAGCCACATCATTGGAATTGTTCCGTAGGGCCCAGCCATAATAACCTGTCAACTTGTCGATGAGGGCCTTTGTCAGCCTGCCCTTCCCTCTCAAAGCCTTGTCACTTTTCTGCACAAGGTTGCGAAGTGCAGTCCTCATCCTCTTCTGAACGTGGTTCAGGCATTCCTCTTTTGAAATGGGGACCAGTCCATAAACATTTTCTTGTACAAGGGCAGAGAAGGTGGCACTATCTCCATCAGACACGAGCGTTGTGTAACGGAGATTGTGCTTCGACAGTGAGCGTGAAAAGAGGATGATAGCTGCCTCAACCTCCATTCTCCCTGATTTAGAGTCTGTGTTTTTCTGGCACACATGATTCTCCAGCCAGCATGCATAGTCTGCGTCTCCAGGCTTTGGCCCTACTTGGCAACCAAGGCACTGATTAGACAGAACAACGGCGTCCAAGATATGGCCCGTATGGTATTCGATAATTGCCCCGACTCCAATATGGGATGTGTGCCCACGCTTGTGCCATGTTCCATCATAACAAACTGTTATATCCCTGGTGAAATATGGATCCATTTCTTTGTAAGTGGCTTTTACAGCAGAAGCAGATTCTGCATAGAAATTTTCTATGCATTGTGTCTGCCGTTCCCTGAATTTCTTCAGGTGCTTCTGAAAGGTCTTGTGATGGAGGCCACGATGGGACACGTTCATCGCTGCCCAAAAGTCGTTGAGAGCTGTTTGTCCCTTGCCTATTTGTTTTGTTGCCATAATGGCTCTTACATTCACATCAAAGGCCTTTGTGTCATCCTGACGAGATGAACTCCATGAGCTTGAAACTACTCCACAATGCAAGCATACTAGCTCAAGCTTTGCAGCAAGTCCAAGTTGGGTGCCTCCTCGTACCTTCATCCCAATCGCGGTGCACTGGTGGCACGGGGTCCGAGATAGCAGGTCGTCTAGGGCATCCATTTGCACAAGGAAAAATTTTTCGCCTTCACTTGTAGCGGTGGCAGCTTCATGATCGCGCTCCATTGCCTAAAATTTCCGCTCCGTTGCTGGCATAGCGCCAAGTTCTCTTTGCACAGCAGCGCGTTGTTGATCCGCCGCCTCTTTCTCCTCCCACGTCAGGAAACTTGTTCGCAAATGCACAGTTGACGACGCGATCGCACTCGAGGCCGATGAAAGAGAAGATGCGGAAGCCACTGTCGATGAGCACGAGACACCAGGCGCACTTGTAACGACAAATTCTTGCACCGGCGGAGCAGGAGTCCCGTTGCTAGGCGCGTCGATGCGACCACTCTCTTGCGTAGATGAAGCAGAAGCTGCCGATCACCGTCGGCGCACGTGCGAGCGGAGAGCCTCGCCGTGCGGACAAGCTTCATATCTCGCTTCCTTGCACCGAACGATTGTAGCGTCTTCTTTTTCGTTGGGCGCATCGTGAGCGAACACAACAACGGTCTCGTATAGACGGTTGAAAATCGTCTCGTAAAGACGGTTGAAAATCGTTTCGAAGACAGTTGAAACGTGGAGAGTATGCGAACGGCTGCAACGATACACGGAAGCGAGCGGAACACAAAGACGCCGGACGGAGGAGCAGCAGACGAGCGGCCGCATCGGCCGCATTATGCGCAAGAGCGCTACGTCATCGCGCGCAGCAGCCAATGGCAGTCCGCGTCCTTGGGGAGCGCGCGCTTCGCCCAATCCCAGCTGCGCGCCTCAGCCGCGGTAAACTTGAAAGCTCTCGCGAGCCCTCCAATCATGAGCAGCTTGCTCCTCTCCTGCGCTGCCGCCGGCGACGCAGGTGGCGGGGAAAGAAAGAGCAAGAATTCACAAACAAAACAACACCAAAATGGCGGCGCTCCGTCGAGCGGTCGAGAAACTGCGATCACGCCAAATTGGGGTATTTTGAGCGCTCGCGCGCCGCTCGAGGGCCGTCGCGGCATGTTCTAAACTTTATTTCAAATGGTTTTGCGACGAATTAGACGTTGATATTTACAGAAAAGGTAGTTTATGACACATACTGCCCGAATATGTGGTTTGCCAAAAATCGACTTTTTCGCGATTTTTCGGTTTTCAAAGGCCGCGTCCCCCTTTAACCCTGTGGAAGAAGGCCACAGGCTGTCAGCGATGCCTGCAGTCATAACAAGTGCATAAACCTTCCTGCAGGCACGGTTCTATTCTGGGCCACAGCATAAACACAGGTCACCGAATTTCAGGAAAGTAAACAGACGCGCCAGACGTAATTATAAAGTTTCGAGATTACAACAAGCATTTTTTGGGAAAACTGTTACACATGTGTCAATTTAGAAAATTAGTTTTTTTTTAGAGAAAATGCAGTTAATAACAAAACCATGCACTAACGCTAGAGACGGCATACCTTCATGGCACGTCCTGCAAGGAAGAGACCTGATCCAGTACCAGATGCCGTAGACATTGGTCTCGAAGAAAGCCAGCAGGAGGAACAGAACGATGCCAACCAAGAAGAGGTATAACATTTCTCGTCCGCTTCCCCAGCGATCCATGCCAAACGGCGAGTGAGGAATGTAGCAGTACGTACCATTGCCACAATCTGCAAACGATAACGCAAAAGACCGTACTTTGCCTTACAGTTAGTGGCAGATTCTTGTTTTCACTTTTTCTTTTAATTACACAAAAGGTCTATTGGGCATTATCCAAAGGGGGGGGGGATAAGTTTTGCCCTGTGAACACTAAAAGTTTTATGGTTGGAACAAAGAATATAGCAGTGCGGTTAACATTTGCATAAAGAAGCCCATGAGCAACTAGACAAAAAATCAAGAATATTCATCGTTGTTTCCATTTCCTTTCATGCAAAAAAAAGGCATTTGCACAGGCCCTGTTTCAATTTTTAAAATATCTTGTGCAGGTTAGTTAGGTCATGACAAATATGTCCATTTTCGTTGTACAATACGCGATATTACACTATTCGAGTTTGATTAAAAATTATTCGACCAAAATCACTATTCACTTCAAGTTTGCTTCGAACCTAAAATTCACTATTCGCGCAGGCCTACTATCTACCACCAATCCCGCTGTCACAGTCAACCAAACTGTTGACTGCAGGAGTTAAAAGTAGTTCACGATTAGTCCTGCCTTGGATACGTATGAAGATTTCTTTACTTAGGAGGTTAGGAGGTGCAACTCTGCTATTTCAGGTGACCAGATAATGTCACACTCCAAGAGAGTCACAGCATGCTAGCGGCACCTGCTGGCCGACAAGGAAATCGCTACTCATTCAACTGCCAAGAGAATCGCTCTGTGCCTGCTCCTGCGCTGCTGCAGTTAGTGAGCGTGGACGCTTAGTGGGTACGGCCACGTAAGTTTCTTGCTCTATCGCTGTGGACCTTGCATAAGCTCGCAGCAACCAATGAAAAAAAAAAAGGAATTTACAGGCCCAAATCAGAGAATTGCCCACTACATATTTGTATGGCAACCAGTGAACTTGCATAGCTTACATATCTTGAAATTTCTGAAATTTGACAAACGTGTCAAAGCGAATTCGAATGCTTTGATGTTCTTCAGAATATTCAAAGCCCTCAAATATTCACAGAGGCCTAGTGCTAGAATCTTACCGTAATGCACTGTTTGTGAAACACCCGGCAAGGATGACCACAAACTTTTTACGTGATGTTTGATTACAATTTCTATCAAAACAATAAGAGTGGCTCACCTTGGCAGCAGACCTCGATGCCCATAAGCTCGGACACGGGACAGTAGCTCTTCAGCAGGGTAGGCGTCAGCTTGGCGCACTTGACCGGATCCCCTCCAATCTCGTGGATGTTGGAGAAGCCCCAGGTGACGGCAAAGCCAGGCACCACCCGTAGAAACCACATGGACTTTTGCACCGCGTCTTCGTTGATTCCAAACATGGGGAACTTCGCGAGGAATGACACGACGGCCATCACGATGCTGAGCATCACACCTGCCGTAGCAGAAGACAAAAGGTTGAAAGGGGATTAAATTACAGAGGTGGCATAACTTTGGGCATGCTGGGGTTCCAATGGCAAAGTTGTTGCGACATAATAACTGTTAAGCACTCGAAGGACACAGACAAAGGACCAAGACATAGGACAGAGACACGAGACACAGCAGTGCTCATGTGTCCATTTGTCTGCCCTTCAAGGACTTTTCAGTTACCGTAATTACTCGAATCTAACGCGCACCTTTTTTTCGGTTAAGCGAGTTCATAAATCGCATGCGCGTTAGAATCGAGTACGAACAAAAAAATTACGGCCAATCTATTGCCATCGGCAAATCTAAAATGGCCGCCCCCTACGTGCGTCGGCATGGCGCGTCGTCCATTTCTGCCTATGTGTTTCTCATGTGCGGCACTTCGTACGTGTGCTGAGGAGTTCGTCATCTAGTAGTGCATTAGCATCGACGGCGTGGAATGGCCGACTCCAAAAACTCGAGTGCACCACGATGCCGCTTTTAAAAGAAAAGTCATCGCGTGTGCAGAAACGGACGGAAATCGGGCCACATAGCGGTCGTTCGGAGTTCCCGAAACGTGCGTGCGGGACCGGCGGAAACAAAAGCAGAAGATTTTCGACAGCAAAGCTTTACGGAAAGGCTTCAGTGGACCACAGCAGGGTCTGTTTCCGCAAATTAAAGAGCTGCTCGGCGAGTACGTGCTTTAGCAGCGAGCAGCACAGCGGCCCGTGACGGCAGAACTGCTCCAAGTGCGGGCTATGCAATTAGTCTTAGAAAAAGGTCTAATGCGGAGCCAGTTTAAAGCGAGCAGGTGCTGGCTAACTAACTTTATGAAGAGGAAAGGCTTTTCCCTCCGAAGGGGAACATGCATATGCGAAAAGTTTTGCGGAGGAGTACGATGATAAGCTTCACAGTTTTCAGAGGTTCGTCCTAAACTTGCGGCGCAATGACTACCTGCTTGGGCAAATCGGGAATGCCGATCAGACGCCTCTTTACTTCGACATGCCTGGCACCACAACCGTCGAGAAGAAGGGGGCGAAGCAAGTTCGCGTGCTGACATTGGTCCACGGTAAAACTACAGTGACGGCAATGCTCTGTTACACGTCAGATGGGCACAAGCTTCGCCCGTACCTCATATTTAAATGGAAGACGCTCCTGAAAGGAGTCGTTTTTTCGAGTGGTGTGATCATGCGGGCCAGCGAGAAAAAATGGGTGCGCGTTGCAATCGATGTCTTACGTTTTTTTTTTTTTTTCGCGGTGGAAATTGGGTGCGTGTTACAATCAAGGGCGCGGTAGAATCGAGTAAATACGGTATTATTGGCACTCCGTTTCAGCATTTAGCGTAGAACACAACATGAAGACCGACTGGCAACCAATGAAGACAGGCAGTTCAACTGTTCATAAAATTCATATACGAGTGTGACACTTAGAAAACAAATTCTTTGAAAGTTGTGCCTGTCGTCGGCAATATTATTAATTGTTGAGATTTGACGTCCCAAAGCCACCACAATATTATGAGAGACGACGTAGTGGAAGGCTCCGCTAATTTTGACCATCTGGTGTTCTCAAAATTTCACTCAAGTCTAAGCACACTGGACTCAAGAAAACACTTTGGCCTCTATCAAAAACGCAGTCACCACCACCGTGATTTGTTTCCCTGACCTGCAGGTGAGCAGTCGAGCACCACAACCGCTAAGCTACTGTGGCAGGCGTCTTGGTAAATTGCCACACAGTTTTCGTATAATGTCGTGCGTTAGATGCTGAAATTTATTTACAATTATGAAATTTTTATTACAGTTATGTATCAAAAGCCCAAAACGAATATAAGGCACACATTTTGGACTAAGTGTAAGCAAGTTGACTTTTTCTACCAGAACCTAAATTGAAAAAAAAAAAAAAAAGCAGGATTTTTTATGCACTCATACAAAACAACTGGAAGACAACAGCAGTCTCTTTTTTCTCTGTCAATCCACACTCAAACCTTGATATATTGAACTCAGACTTAAGGGAATATCGGTTATAATGAAGTAAACGAATGATAGTCTTGCAATTAAAAAGTGTTGAGAATACAGCTTTGTAACAAACCTTCGGTTACAACAAATGTGTCATCATGTAAGATGCAACTTTATTAAAATAGGGTTTCACTGTTTTAATCTTGACCTGCTACCATATGAAAGCTTTCTGAGCCTAACGTTGCCTCCGGGACTGAAGGCAGCTCACCCGGTTTCGCCCTGACCCCGCGATCGAGCCGCCCTTCACCAAACTAGGATGCCATGCTGAGATGTCATTATTATGTCACAAATTTTGAAGATTTTCAACTTCACGGTGATGTGATTTAGTGACATCATCATGCCATGATGATATCTCACATCACTTGTGCTGATACCACCAACGGGGGATGCCGATGTGGGACACCGGTTCATTGGTATTATTATTAAACAAGAATTTTATTATTAAAATTAAACGAATTTTCTCACATATTGCCTTAAACATGATGTCACTGTCACGTCCACATATAAAGCCTATGACATCAAGGTGGGCAGGAAGATAACTCTGAAATATACCACCATGAAATGACACTAGTGAGTCGTGCCTATTGGCAAAGCTATGCATGTCATTGCATGTCATACTGAATTGCATGTCATACCACTTTGCGTTTCGGTGCATGTCATGCAGGTCATACTGACGAAGCTATTCAGGTGATTCGTGCATGTGAACGTAACAATTAATCCAACGTAACACGACCCCAGGTGGTAGAAATTTCCGGAGCCCTCCACTACGGCATCTCTCATAATCATATGGTAATCTTGGGACGTTACATCCCACGTATCAATCAATCAAGGCTTTGCGATTTCACCTACACAGCACAACCTGTTCATAATTTTTTGAAAACTGCCGCTGTTAGGTCTCAATGCACTTTGAACATGATCTGAACACAATTTTTCGTAAATAAAGTATCACAAGCGGAGACGTCAAGCAACGCCTTCAAATGAGTTTCGTGCATTTGTAATTGCTGCATACCTGTGATGACATTGATGGTGGTCAGGAGAGAATATCCGGAGGACGGCTTGTCCTTGACGTACGAAAAGAGGTAGCTAAATGGGATGGCTGCCCAGCCGTACAGGAGAAATAGGAAGTATGTTGCCGCTGAAAAAAAATAGAAAAAACAAAGGATGAAAGATTCCCATCGGCATAACCATGCAAATCTCTCAAAGAACTAAGTTTTCGGGATGCCCAAGACATTCCTGATAGACACGCTGACATTGAAAGGTGCTTACTTCCACCACAACTTGTACAATTAGCTCCCACAACTCAGCAAAGTGTAGTAAGTTCCATTCGAGTTCGACAACTGTCTAGATTCGCCACTGCATTCATGGGCTGTAGATGTGCCACTTCAGACACTTTTGATTGTGAAATGCAAACGCTTTTTGTAGCAATGCAGTGCAGACTAAATAAAGCTCTCATGTAAGCTTTTTCTTAAAGGTCAAGTCGTCAAAAGCTCGTGATTTCCCCTGAAACATTCTATTATTTATGCTAAAGTTCTGGCTGGAAGCTACTTCCGTCCACTACTTTTTTCCAAATGCGATCCCATGCTACTCATAGCAAAGTGCATCACCACGCAGACACATTTTGGATATTAGAAACCAAAAAACAATGCCACAAAGCCAAATGCAAGATATGCACTTCACTAATGATCACTACAGTAAAATCTCGGTATAACGAACTTCAGGAGACCGTGGCAATATGTTCGTTATTTTGAAAGGTCGTTATAGTGAAAGCCCAGAAATGAATCATTACTAATTTTTCACCGACCAAAACGACTTATCTTGACAACAGTGGGTCCTTGAACTCGTTTTTCACGATACAAAACAAATGTGGTCCTTGAACTCGTTTTCCACGATACAAAACAAATGTTCAAGTGAAACCAAAAAATGCACACTTACTTAAAGAATTCTGGGATTTTTTTTGTTTTTTGTAATGCGTGCAGCACGAAGGCCTCCAGCTCATCCACATTCTCCACTTTTTCCTTCGCAAAAGCCATTTCCGCTTCTTTGTTGCAAGCAGTGATGATGAACTCCTTGTATAAGCACCGCAGCGCGAACGCAGACTTGCTTTTCGGCGGCGATAAGTAATCACCAAAAAAATGAACACGATTGACAAGGCCTCCCAGAGCACATGTAGAAGAGACAAAGATAAGGAAAACCCCCAAAGCACTGCGGCAGTCATTGGCTCTTTTGAAGAAAAAAAAAGAGTAAAAAAGAAGACTCCTCGCGTTTCATTTACTGCTCCCTCGCTGTCTCAGGTTTTCCGCGCCCATGCTTCCTGCTCCACAACTCGCACTCTGCCTCACTGACCTTGCTCTCCCGTGTTGCCCTCGCTCTTGTCTCTGCGTTTGTAAACCTGCAGCGTCAGCACTTCAACAAAAAAAAAAAAAAGAAAGTCGTCCTTTCGTCATTTTTTTTTTTCCCTTCGCATTGTCGCGTGTCTTTTGAAAAGCAAGGCGTACGTTCACTGTGTCGTCTGCTAGCGTACCACTCTGGTGGTCGCGACGGATTTCAGAACATGAGTTCATAGTACTGAGGCATTGTTAATATGAAGCAAAACTAAATTAGTGCTCGTTATTTTGAAAAGTTCGGTATTCTCAAGTACGTAGTAGTGAAATAATTTTACATTGAAACTATTAGCAGTCAGCGCAGGATTTTTAAAAGTTTGTTTATCTGAAAAGTTGGTTCATCGGAAAAGGTGGTGCTCGTTCTACCTAGATTTTACTGTGTCACAAAAATCAGCTCTTGACCTTGGCAGGTGAATGCTACACCAACTGTGCTTATCTTGAGCTCTCGTTATAATGAAGTTGAATGGGAGTGATAATTATTTAGTTATATCCGTTATTTTGTTATATCAATTATAACAGTTTGTGGCAATTTATGCTCAGTTGGACGCACACCTATAAGCATGAAAAGAAGAAAACCACTTTGCAGCCTGATAAACCGCTATGCGATCACGGAAAATAAACTCTGCTGAATCTCATCAATTCAAACACGGCTAATTCGAACTTCCGGTTAATTCGAACTCACGCTGAGGTCCTGTCAAAGCTATGTGTAATTAAATGGGCGAAAATGCCCTGTAATTCGAACGTGTAAGCACTTGCTACGGTTCATTCGAAAATACTGCGCTCCGAAAATGCTCTCAGCACCATGCCCCATCCTGCGGCGGCACCTCTCAACGCTGCGCGCGAAGAAGGAAAAGAAGAAAAGAAAAGACTGGCAGATTGATTGCTCTGTCTCAAATGCCGATCTGCGACGCGCTTGTGCCACGCTTTCTGCCTTTTCTGTCTCTGCAAGTAGAAACCCTTCTCCTTTCAAGTGTGGAGAGAGAGGGAAAAAAAGAAAAGGAAGAAAGCTGTCGTGGAGGGTCCTTCTTTTTCGGTGCAGAGGGTAGTAGCCATGGTAACAGCAAAGACTTCCTCAATCCTCTCCGCTGGCTTGCGAGGACGACGGCTCTCTCGGTCGCATAGGGCGTGGTTGTAAGGTCGGCGCGGGAGTTTTGAAAGAGCCGCTCTGAACGAGCGTCAAACTCCGCAGAAAACAATATACTTAACACACTACAGTTGGTTTTTTTTAAAGTCTATTTGATAGACTAATTTAGTTCATAATATCCATTTACCAGACAATTTTACTTCATTACAATGAGGTTTAAAATGCATGGTTCTCAATGGAGCTTTCAAGGGGAATTTCATTTACTTCGTTATATCCATTATTTTGACATATCCTGTTACGTTATAACGAGGTTTGAGTACTTTTTTAGCCTTATCTTTCATATTGCATGCTTATTCTGATTCCAACTAGATGCTGTGATGCACAAGAGATCATGAACAAGTTGAAGTTGCGTACTGAGTCGCTCTGCTCACGGAAGTTGAAACCAACATAGTGGACAAAAGTGGCTGTAACGGAGAGAATTCGCACAGGACAAATATGCTGCTCTTTAGCAAAATTTAAAAAAAAAAGGCAATCAATAATTTCATGCCATCTCATCCGACCAATAGCGATCCCAACAGGAGCTAGGGCAAGGCATACCTGGTACACTGGGGCTGGATGTGAAAACACCATTGGGGTTGATCGCCAGGAGTGGGATCATGACAGCCGTGCTGCAGACAGCGAAGACCACAAAGTCCCAGAGGAACGTGATGCCCCAAAAGAGGACACCAGGCACACCGGCCATGAGCTGCAGCAGCTTGGACTTGGTGACACGCTCGTGGGTCGGGAAGAGGACGAACGACGAGGACAGGAAGGCTAGAGCGGTGGGCACGAAGACGGCGGCCAGGATGCGAGCTGCCTGGTCATACTGCGGTAATTCGGTGAAGGGGATATTACAATAAACGTACAGTAGGCTCTCCGTAATTCAAACTCGGGATTTCGGCCTCGAGATTTTGTTAGAATTACCGAAACTTCTGATAATAAGGACAACACACTACACTCACGCCTCATAAGAAAGTTGCATTTACAAAAAAAAAAAAAACTAAGTTAGTTATCTCCAGAAGTTTGTTACAAAGGTTATTCCTAACACTATATCTAATACAAGGCTCTTTTTTCATATGCTTCATTATTAACAGCATTTCGTTATATCTGGGTTCGTTATATTGAAGTTTCAGAGTCACCAGTGTTTGCTGAACTGCCTGGTAGTAATAAGATCCCGTGCTGCAAGACGCCAATGGGCAGAACAGTGCCACTCTTGCAGTCACGGCTACCAATGGCACTGATGAACGCTCCCAGGTTTAATGCGCTTATCTACCCCATAATGTGTTCGAGTATTCAAGGGTCGCAGGGCCCCGCCGTGGTGGTCTAGTGGCTAAGGTACTCGGCTGCTGACCCGCAGGTCGCGGGTTCGAATCCCGGCTGCGGCGGCTGCATTTCCGATGGAGGCGGAAATGTTGTAGGCCCGTGTGCTCAGATTTGGGTGCACGTTAAAGAACCCCAGGTGGTCAAAATTTCCGGAGTCCTCCACTACGGCATCTCTCATAATCATATGGTGGTTTTGGGACGTTAAACCCCACATATCAATCAATCAATCAAGGGTCGCAGGCTCAGTCCCTGCTGGCAGCAAGTTACCTTTCGTGCACTTTTATTTCTTCACATTTGCATCATTATTAGTACAAATGATGCCCTTGTACTTTCCTTAGGACCAATGTCTGTTAATTCTCTTTAAAATTATATATAATACAGAAGAACGAGCCCTTAAATTTCTCCTTCTTTCCTTCAACCAGCGTTGAGATGTTCTTTGTTTCTTATGGCCGCAGCAGCAGCACAGACTGCTCCGAACGACTTCCAGTAAAACTTTTACATGATAGCGGTGCTACTAGTACTGGTTTTTATACAATGCGTGCATGCGTGTGTAATTGAAGAATGAACTGTGTTGCGCCCCGTGACAATTCATTGGTCTTTCCCATTCTTGGAACGCTTTTATTGCATGACACCAGTGTACTGCTGCGAAGGTGACTAAAAAAACATACCATAAAAAAACAACAACGAAACCATGGCTAAACAGCTTTTCTTTTTTTTTTTGAAGGAGTGAAGCTTATTAGGCCCGCACTCCACCGTCGAAGCTCCCTGCGCCAAGCGCACCAAGCAAAACAACAGGTGCGTTCTCTCTGCAGATGGCTCGCGCTGCGCCGTACGTACTACATTCATTTGCTTCGTAGTTCCGCCGACCGAGCTAAGCAAAAGCTCTCCCAACCCGCTCCCCACCCTTCCGCTTACATGAATGCCAGCAGCGAGATCAGGTGCATGGTCATTTTCGTGTCACTTTTAAGGAGCTTCGCTCATTGGTTGTATTCATACACAGAACAAGTGCTAGTTTAAAGGTAAAGTTCCTCTCAGTCTGACTTTGTCCTGCAACAAGTGTAACCGGCAGTATCAGACAAACAGACAAACAGGCGGATGCATGAACGGATTGATGCATGGACAAACACACAGACAGACAGGCGGACGCACAGACACACAGAAAGACAGTTGGACATACAAACATCATTCAATCCATGAATATTCTGTAACTTTTTTCTTTACCCTGTTAGCATGCAATTGTTTGTGCACGCTGTTGGGCTAGTTTGGCTGTTTTGTAAGCAGGCAGTCAGCTTTATTTGCAACTATTGGGGACATAAGAATCAGAGTCGCCAGGTGCCACTCAGCAAACAAGCAAATAGTCACCCCAAAACAAGCCCAAAGAGGTGGCGGCGCTTCTCCGAATGAGCCCAAAATAAGCGAAAATTAAACAAATGTTCCTATTCTTGAAAATTACGCTGTAGTACAGATAAAAATACATCTGGAAGGTGTACACCAATTTATTTTTCATAATAAGAATAGGTGCAAGAATAGAGGCAAGAATTTTTCTAGCCTTACACACAGTCATCGTCACTGACATCTGGTAGATCAGGATAATCCATGGTGTCCACGTCCGTGGAATCGTACATGTTCTTTGCGTTGAATAGTACCGTCATTTTCGTTGTTGGTTGAAAGTCTCAGCAGCAAACTCTAGGAAACTTGAGAGCATAGTGAACATGGAGAATGGTGCTCAGCATTGTACTTTTCATATTATTTCGAAGGTGCGATTTCACGAGGTTCATCTGTGAAAAAACACGCTCAACATCGGCGTTGCTCAGGGGCATGGCCAACAACAACAGAGCGAATTTTGCCATTTTCTTGCAGCAGCTTTTACCGCTTGCATCTGTGAAATGCAGGACTTCTACTCAAAAAGAAGTAGCGTTATTTTAGGTCGCATTTTTCCAGGGAAGAAGGCAAACCTGCCTATATTGCGTGTGCAGAAGACCTATATCTATAGGAGAGGCATATCCTGCAGCAGCAATTTTGTTTAGCTCAGTATGCATTCAGGCAAGAACAATTTCATAGAATTCCAAAGCTGAATGTTATGAAAAAGGCAAAGCTGCACTTGCTTTGCAGGTTCAAAAATAAAATTCCGGCATCTGAGCTTAACAGTCTCTTTCCTGCTCAGCGCTTGGTTTGGATGCTGCGACTTCCATATTAAAAAGCACTTTAAAATCTACATCAGCAAGTGGAAGGTGGGTTGCATTGTCCTCCAGGTTTACTTCCAGAAGCTTCTCTCCGGCAGCTGGTATGTGCGAGGGGATGAGCACTCTGGAAATAAGTGACCGGTACAAGTTTTCAAGGCAATAGGGCAGTTGCATTTGATTTCTGTTTTCAAGTGGAATAGCTAAGTTGACTCTTGAGAACTCCTGCGGTACTAGGTTCAGAAACACTAGGCACAACTTGTTCACAGGATCCCTGTGCATTTCGGACAGGATCTCAGCGTCATAGCAACGATACTTGTCCTTGCACATGGTGAAGTGAAGCTTGAATTCATCCCGTTGCTTTAAGATCCGTTTACAGCAGCTGGAGATGGAAAGCAATCGCATTCCCGACAACTGAACCAACTTTAATGGCTCTCTACCGTTGTTTATCAGCTGGTATATCTTCCTGTACTCACGAAGTCGCTGGGAACTGTGCGAAAACCAACTGTACGAGTGGCCAACAAGGAATGCTAGGCTCCGGGGAAGCACTTCTGCAGCTTTGCTAGCACATAGTTGAATGGAATGACACACGCACTTTACTAGCACGAGGTTCTTGTAATCTAGCACCTTGGCTTCTCATAGCAAGGGTACACGGCCGCACTCCCTGCATTGCAATGGCAGGTTAGATGAAATCAGTTGATAGTTTGCACTGTGTGTGTGCATCGTCCTACTCTTGTCCTCGTTTTTTGCACAAAGCCTACAGGAAGAAGAACCAAGTCACCCAACAAACCACTCTATCGTAGTCTAACCGTGTTTCACCGTGTTTTTGACAACGAATTGGGTGCTGGGCGATGCAGCATTATTTTTCGAAAAAGTACAGGTAAGCCACAAAAAAAAAAAAAACGCGACAAGCGACCATAAAAATTTGCAAGCGTTTCTGCGAGGAAACAAGACCGAATCCGCTTGCAGTAAGCGAAACTGTCAACTCTGATAAGAACACAAATGCTCAGCTACAAGCAACGGAGGCAGTACTGTATTTACGCGCATAATTTGCACACCCCTATCTTTAGCCAGATTTATGGAAAAAAAATATTTACTCGCATATTTCGCGCTCCACAACTCGCCCAAGCAAGCTCACCCGCGGGCGCACCTTTAGACATTTTGATGCTTCGGCCGGGTGCGCGCCTCGCCGTGCAGACTAGTGCAGTCAAACAGGCTGCAAGTACGAAGTCCTTTCTTCCGAGGATTTCCCCTGAACTAGAGTCGCTCGGGTCTCTAGAATACCGCACCAGAACACAAACCTGTTGACGGGTTGCCGGAACTGCTCGAGCGTATGCCTCCCCCTATCTCCCAATATCTATTGCCGTGATAATGGTGAAAATGCACGCTCGCATCATGGCATGGACGACTTTCTGCATCGGAGGCGTGCGAGGGCCTGTCGCACCAACTGTTCCCCTCGTTCTCTGCATCCGCGCTACAACACGCACTTGGTCGATTTCGGAAGTTTAGCTTTCGCCATCCCACCGTTGTGTAATGACGGTTCCCTTGCGATGTGCTGCAGCAATTATATATATGGCGAAATTGAAGCTCGCTATTGTAAATTTCACCGAAAAAAACTGGAAGCGTGTCGCTGTAAAGCACTTCAAGGGGGCGTACTTCAACGTGACGACCGGCGCGATCGGTAAGCAAGAAAGCAGAAGAGTGCGCGCTTGCTATTGCAAGTTTCCTGCCATTGAAGGAGACCTTTTCAATTATGTGCAGATGCTTAGTATTTCCGGTATCGCCATGTCGTGGGACATAATTTCTCCCAGCATTGTGGAAACAGCTTCAAGAAAATCGGGCATTAGAACGCCCTCGGCGGAACTGAAGACGATACGCTTCGAGAGGTCAGCGGTCGCGACGATGATTCCCAATCCGACTTCGCTATCAGCGATTCCAGCTACACCACACGTGACCGGATCTGACTGGTTGAAGTACCTGCTAATTGTTTTAAAATTAAAACGTACACTTCATTTGTGCTGTAATTATTTTTTTAATGTATACTGTGCACGTTAGGACTGTAACTATACTTTGTATGCGCTCGCTCAATCGCCGCGTAATTTGTGCACCCCATTCTCAGGGCCCCTGAATATCGAAAAGAAAGTGTGCGAATTGTGCGAGTAAATATGGTAGTTAGTTCTAGGCATGAATAAGCATAGAGATTGAATTAACCGAACTTGTGCAGTGGGGCAATTTACGTTTAAAATAGCTTGAAAAAATAGTGAGCCAACCAAGAATTTGAAGATTTGTTTAATTAAACGAGAGTTCAAATTGTCGAGAGTCTACTGTAAATAATGGTTGATGTTCTTCCACACTTGACAGGCAAGCTTACAGATACCGTATTTACACACATATTCCTCGCACTTTTTTTGATGGAAAACCGATGCAAAGTGGGGGGGTGCTAGATTTATGGGGGGAAATTTTCTGCAGAAACGTGCAGAGTGAAAAGGAAAACGAAGTAGCCGCGAATCGGGATTCTCACGCCAGCAACTAACTGCAAGCTTTGAGAAGTACTGCTTAAGACTTACCTCAACAATAAAAGCACAGGTTCAATACAAGGCAAAGTTTACTTGAGACACAAAAGGCGCAAGCAAATAATCGAGAATTAGTAAACCCTACAAAGAGCTTGTGGGCCCTGCGGGCGTAGCGGTAGCGTTATTTACTCAACAGGAGCCCTAAAAAGTTTAGCATACAACTTCAGTACAGTAGAATCTCGATGATACGAATCTCGCGGGGTCACAGAAAAATATTCGTAATAGCCGAAATTCGTATCATCGGAACACATGCAAAACTAGCTAAATTAACACCGGGTTGGAGGCAAACTCATTTTCGGCACTCGAAAAAAAAAATTTGGAGAAAAAATCTCTGTTTTTCTGCTTCTGTTTTTTTTTTTTTTTTTGTCAAGTCACTCAGCAGACTTCTCTGGAATCTGTAAAAACGCGTGCCCGTGTCAACACTGATTCCTTCAGCAGCCATAGCACGGCTCAGGACGTCGAGCGCGTGCAGAGTTTCAGCCGCCGGTGGTGGTTCTTCGCCGTCGCACTCGTGCATTTCCTCGTCATCGTCGCTGGAATCGGCAACCTCACACGTGGCCTCGTTGACAATATCTTCCGTGCGCACACCACAAGTGGCAAGATTGTCATCCGTCGTGAAAAAGTAGTCAGCCGAACAACCGGCATCAAGGAATTCCCAACCTTCAATGGGATCCTTCGACTCTGAAAGGGCCTCCGGCACCTCTTCGTGAATCCTAAAGAAGCCGCATTTACCAAAGCAGTTCATAATGGTAGTTGGCATTACTCTATCCCAAGCCATTGAGATAAAATGGATGGAGCCAAAAGGGCTTATTCGCAGGCCACCTTCGTCTTTTCTGTCGATTTTCGCAAGGAGCCGGCGCACAAGAAGGCTCTTGAAATGATGCTTAACGTTTTTATAATGCCAACGTCAAGCGGTTGCAAGTGCATCGTCGTGTTTGCGGGCAAAAAAACCAGCTTGACGTTTTGAAGCGTCACTTGCTTCAGGTGGGTGGCGCACTGGTCAAGAATCAGAACAATCTTCCGATTCTTGCAGGCCATTCTCCTGTTAAGGAGAGACAGAAATTCTTCGAACATGGGCCGCCATCATCCACGCTTTTTTGTTTGTGCGATAGAGCATGGCAAATGGCTCTCACGCTTTAAACACCGAGGCTTCTGAAATTTTCCAACTATGGTCAACGTTAGTTTTTCTGACCCGTTGGCGTTACAGCACAGAAGAACCGTTATTCTTTCTTTGCTTCTTTTGCCTCCTTGGCACGCTTCACCTTTTAAGCAAAGGCTCTTCTCGGGTTGAAGATTAAAAAACAGGCCTGCCTAATCTGCATTAAAACATCACGAGGCTGATACCCCGAGATAAGAGACTCCAGCTTTGCGAGCCAGTCGCTAACAACGGTCTCGTCAGCCTTTTTGGCTTCCCCAGAGACGCTTTTGTACACGAGACCGTGTCTCGTCTTGAAACGGTGCAGCCACCCTCCCGAGGCCTGGAATCCGTCGATGTGCAGAGCAAGTGCGATCTCGTTGGCTTTTTCACGCAAAACTTTGCCGTCAATGCTCACACTGGCTGCAGTAACTTCCTTGAACCACATAAATAAAGATTCTTCAAGTTTCACGTGTTGGGCTCTCTTCGCTTGCTTCGCGTTGACGCTGAAAGAAAGCACATTTTTCATTATTGTGTGCCGCTGGCCAACAATTCTCAATGTCGACGTGGCGAGGTCTAGATCCTTAGCCAACTCCATGCGTTTTCTTTTCGGATCCTCATCGATCTTTCGAAGAATGTCCAGTTTCTCCTTAAAGGAGAGAGCCTTCCGCTTGCGAGACATGGCTTGCTGCGACTCCGCAAAAAGGCACAACAAAGCAAATACGTGTGCTCAACTGGGCAAGACTGTCGACAGCCTTCGCACTACAGTAACCACGTGTCCGCACCAGAGAGCACCCACCACCAAGCAAAACAAAGGTTGGATTGTATTTGTGTCTTTACCGTCGCCAGCGCCATCTGGAGCCTTCAAGAGAAAGCAAAAGGCGCACTCCGGTGTTTGAGATCGCGCAGATCTTCGAGTCTGTCGCCCGCCGCTCACCGGCAGCACTGACAGTGTGCCAAACCGGCAGCGCAGCACGCATTTCAGCACGTGCGTGCACACTACTTGCTTCCGCGGCCGTCGGTGGGGTGGCGTTTATTCGTATCAAAGAACTCGGGTAAAAAAATCAGTTCGTAACAACCGTACTCCAGCACATAGTACATTAATGGGCCTCGGCCGGGATCACAGAAAAATTCATATGACCCCGAATTTCGTATCAGCCATGACCGTATCATCAAGGTTCTATGGTATGGGGCTGATGGCCATTTAACACAGAATTGTCAGCAGTTGCCTTCTGATGAAATAAAGTTTACTATCCATTCCAGTCTTAGGCACACTGAACGCCCAATGTGTCTTGGTGGCTTTCAGCTGCCGTCACCAGTAGCGAACACAAAACTTGACTCCAAAGGACCTACTGACGGCCCTATTGCCGTCATTTAGTGCACGATCAATCACTTTCACCTTGAAAGCAGCCGTGTAGCTCCCGTATCGCCCCATAACACAACATAAGTACAACAAAACACACCGCGACGCGCACTTCACTTTTGCTTGGCTTGGACTGGATTTAATCTTCATGCAATAATAGTACGCATGATGCTTAAGCGATGGCGCGCGCTATAATCATCAGTGGCTGAAACAAGCAGACAACATTATTGCGGCAATTTTTAGGGGTGCGATAATTACTCGCAAAAGAAAAAAAATCTTATTTTTGTTGAGCGGTGTGGGGGGTGCGAGAATTGTGTGAATGTGAGGATTAAATGAGTAAATACGGTATACTTCCACATTTCATACAGGCTTCCGGATTAAAAAAAAACTACATGCGTTCTACGCCGAACATTTCGCCAATGTTGACTAAAGTCAGCAAATTTCTGTACAATCGCCGATTCGACAACTATATGCGCAGGCAGCTTGCCGGCTCCAATCAGTACACTATTGTACACTCACCGATGCGGCACCTATCTGTTCAGACAGCTCTCCGGGGAGCGGCCAGTTGGTGACGGACACCTTGGCAGTGGCGTCACTGGTGATGTACCTCAGCGCTGCCGTGTGCGCCAAGTTGAGAGACATGGAGCCAATGTGGTACGGCTCACCATTGTACCAGGCCACAGCTTTTGCGTCGCCATCAGTCTGACCGCCTACGAGGTACCTGTGTTTTGAAAATTTATGTGGCCCATGATATATTCAATTTAGTACTTGAACTATATGAATATATAATTTGTCCTCGTACATTCTCAGCAAATTGACAATATTGCCATGAATAATGTGAAGATAGTACAGTCGAGCCCGCTTATAACGAATCTGAGCGTGACGCAACATCCGTTCGCTGTATCCCGAAGTTCGTAGTAAATGAAACACAGCTTTTTAAACAACTTGCGAGTGAAACGAGTGAAAACACAAGCTTTTTTTGCTCCAGAAAGTCCGCGATGCACGTGTTTCGAAGAACAGAAGCGATAAGGGCGGTCTCGAGTTCATTTCAAACGGCAGGGTGCTCGTTCACAGAGGTCCGTGGCATAAGCTGCAAGAGGCACTGGCTCCAAAGTTTCGTCGCTCTCGCAAACCGATTCCTCCAAATCGCTATAGCCACGTACTTCATTCACATAGCCCCAATCCATGCACGGTTCCGCAGTGTCGGCATCATCATCGGCCATAATCAAATCATTGCAACAGATGTCCCACCCGCTCTCCCAGGTCGGAGTCGACGACGCGCTGCCACAAACCGCCGCCGCAGTTCGGAAGCTTCAAGCTTGGCATCGGGCCCGACGTCGACGAAGTGGGCCTGGCGAAAACAGTTTTGCGAGCATGTAGTCGTCACCGCTGCCCACGAAATATTCACCATCTCCACAGCTGAATACCGGGACGTTCGAAGTGGCGAGTTGGCTGCCATGTGGCCAACAGCTATGAGCAAGCGCTGCGCAACGCAGCACCTACCGGGCGGATTACGCTCAAGCCAAGCGGTCACACTTTCGACGTTTCGTTGAGCGCAGGAAAAAGCTTGCTAGTCCTCCCGTCGGCCATCATGACCACACATGCACACCAAGAGCGAGCAAGACGCGCACGCGCGACCCACATGCCAGAACGCGTGGAACAGCTCTAGGCCCATTTCCAGTCAGAAAAGGAAACTAACTCGAGCCAGCGTGGCGGGCGTCGCGGAGCGGTGGAGATAGATAGGTGAAGGGGTTGTGGTCAAGAGAGGAGAGCGGACTTGCGAGAGAAGGGCAAGGAGTTGAGATAAAGAGAGGAAAGGATGCGGGGGGAGGGCGACCTCAAAAACCAAAACACACGGGAAGGAGGCAGGTTGGGTAGCTTGCTTGAAAGGTCCGCAAACTCGCGCGTCAAAGCATTGCCGCCTGGATCTGCGCGCGCGGCAGTGTTCGAAGAATTGGCGGCCGTGGTCAAAAAATCGTTTTGTTGCGCCAGCGGGTTTGCGTGGCCTCACGAACTTCGAATTTTCGCGATTCGTTCCGCGCAAATTAACAGCCGTTTTTGCGCTTCCGCACGCGCGCGGAAGGCGTGCTAAGCCGAGTGCCAAGTGAGTGAGAACAAGTCCTAAACTCGAAATGAATCGTAAATCATCAGAGTCGGTGGGGTAGCGTACGCGCGTGCACTAGACGCAGAATATCGGATACAGTCGGTGGCCTACGATGTTGGCAAATGGTCTGGTCCCTCCAGGCCGGCAACGACAACGACAGTACCAGTGATTAAAAACGGGGTAGATGGCCGACCGGTTTTCGAAAGACCGGTGGCAGTGTGAAAACACGGGCCTCGTCTGGCGATGCGGGGTGCTCAGATTAGCGGGCGGGTGCGTAACAAAAAGCTGTCGGGGAGAGCGGCAACTAGAGGGTCGCGGAGGCAGGGTCGGCGTTTGACAATGAATGTATGGGCACCTCGCCGATGCCTGATCAGCGGCCGAAATTGGTTTCCCGGGAAGTCGGCAGACCAGTGACTCCGTTCGCTGTAACCGATGAGCGGCGCTAGGAGACGTTTGTTGTAAGTGCAATTTTGTGCCAATGAACCAATGTATATTTTCACGGTCACGCGGATATTGTTCGTTTTAAGGGGGGACGCGGCCCTTGAAAACCGAAAAATCGCTAAAAAGTCGGTTTTTGAAAAACCACATTTTTGGGTTGTATGTCTCATAAACTACCTATTCTGTAATTATCAGCACCTATATCAACCGCAAAGTGCAAAAAAAATACTAGTTTCGAGGCCGCCGCGGCGTCCAAAACAGGCGCAAATCCCGAAATCAAACCAAACTTCGTGCGCGCGCCATTCCCGTACCATGCGGTCGTCCCGCGCCATCTTGGTGTTGTTTTGACCGTGAATTCTTTCTCTCTCGTTCGCCGCCTTGCAAAATGGCGTCGGCTGCACAGTTGAGACGCTATTGGCGTTTTCCCGCGATGCGATGCGGAGCGCTGATTGGCTAGAGCAGCGCATTCATATCTCGCGGGAGAAAGCGTGCCCGCCATTGGCTGCTGTGCAGCAGCAGGGGCAGTCGCTCCTCTCGATGGCGCGTCCAGCGCGCTCGCTTCGTTGTTGCTCTCTGCTCCGTCCGCCTCGACAGACGTCTGCTTACGAGCCGCTCTTCGCCTTGTGCTATCTTTTCGATCATTTTCTCTCGTTTTTTTTTCTTTTTGCACTAGTTCTGTGCCTTTCGTCTTTGTTGTTGCGGGCGATGCCGGCAACGAAGCCAAAGTCAGTGCGGAAGTCCGGTGCGCGGAGGCGCGCTATGCGGCTTGTACGATCATCGAAATTCCGCTATTCTGCTGCGGGTGCCGACTGCGTAGACGCTTGCAGCGACGGAACTGTGTTGTCGGCTGTCACCAGTCGAGAATCCGACACATCGAGTGTGGCTGGAGCCGCAAATGCACCGAGTGTTTCCAAGATCGCCGGGCTCGACACGTGCTCCGAATTGATGCCATCCAGTGTGACACCAAGTGCTTCTGATATCGCCGGACCCAGCACCTCGTCTGAATCGGTGCCGCCATCGAGCGTGAGTGGACCGTCGCTTCATCTACGGACGCGTTTCTTAACGAAGGAAGAAATCGATGCGAATGCGAAACGTCGTGACGCCGTTCGCGCTGAACTCGAGTCTACGCCGGCGACGCAGAAGAAATTTCAACTGATGCAGCCGGCTCTTGCACCTGCAGTGACAAGTGAGGGCGAACATTTTTCGCTCGTTCAAATGAACATCTTTGACGTCGTGCTCAGCCACACAGTGTGCAAAGAATGTTTGAAAGGTGCTATGACTGTCTGAGAGAGCACCAAGCTTGGACTTGCAACAAAACTTGAAGTCGTGTGCGCCTCTTGTGGCACCGTTGATAAATTATGGACATCACCCCGCAAAAAGGACACGCAGGCCTTCGATGTAAATGTCCGCGCCATAATGGCTATAAAGCAAATAGGCAAGGGGCAAACAGCTCTTAATGACTTTTGGGCTGCCATCAACGTCTCTTACAGAGGTCTTCACCACAAGACGTTTCAAAAGCACTTGAAAGAGACGTTCAGGAAGCCAGAGGCCACCGCTTTGGAGAAGTTTTATGCTGATTCTGCCACAGCAGTGATCAAAACATATAAAGAAATGGACCCCAGCTTCTGCAAGGACATCACCGTAGTGTACGATGGCACATGGCATAAGCGGGGTCACACATCACACATCGGAGTGGGATCGGTAATTGACTTCTTTACAGGTCTCATCTTGGATGCTGTAGTTCTTTCAAACCACTGCCTTGGATGCCAAACAGGGCCCAAACCTGGAGATGCAGCATACGAAAGCTGGCAGAAGCACCACATTTGCCTGAAAAACACAGACGCAAAATCGGGAAGCATGGAAGTGGAGGCAGGCTTGACTCTCTTTGGGCGGTCTGTATCCAAGCATGGCCTGCGGTACACCACTCTTGTGTCCGACAGAGACAGCCGTACCTTCGCTTCGCTCACAGAAGAGAATGTGTACAGGCTAGTGCCAATTGTAAAAGAAGAATGTCTGAACCATGTTCAGAAAAGGATTGGAAGTGCTCTTCGAAACATTGTGCAGAAAAGTGATAAGCCACTGAGTGGGAAGGGGAAGCTGACTAAAGCCCTCATTGAAAAGCTGACAGGATATTATGGTTGGGCCCTGAGAAACAATTCAACTGACCTAACAGCCATGCAGCGTGCAGTGATGGCAACATATCACCACGTCACATCGACTGACCAGGACCCTCACCATGAACTTTGCCCAGAGGGGGCTCAATCGTGGTGCCGCCATAGAGCTCCAGAGGCAAAGTGTGAGCCACAGCCAAAACATAAACACAGCCTACCGGACTATGTCGCTGCAGCTATGCTGCCCATCTACGAAAGACTGTCACAAAAGTCGCTTCTTCAGCGCTGCCTGGGAGCGAAGACGCAAAATGCATCAGAATCATTCCACTCCATTCTGTGGTCTCTGATGCCGAAGGAACAACACTCATCCTTGATCGCGGTAGAAACAGCACTGCATGAAGCAGTGCTGCGCTACAATGCCGGCTGCTGCAAAGCAACCCAAGTGATATCGGACTCCATTGGACTTCAACCAGGTCATCTGGCCATCCAGCGAGCTCGTGAAAAAGACGCTTTACGCCTAAAAAAGAATTCTAAAAGACACCAAGAGAAGATGGAGGCCAGGCAAAAGAAGAAAAGAGTGCGCCAGGACACTTCTAGCTACTGTGCTGGAGCTTTTTGAAGAAAACACGTGTTTTGAACTTTCTCGGCCTGTTTTCTCAGAACGGATTTTTTTGCTAGTTGTGGTGCTGAGGAAAGCAAGAACTCAAAAACCGTTCATCAGATTTGTGTGCCGTTTTTTTTATTCTGTTCCTGAATGACCTTGCAAGGGCGTAACAAGCTCTTTTTTTTGAAAATTGGTGCTGTTAATTTATAATAAACAATTAATTTTTGATGAATCTGGTCATTACTGGTTACATCAAATTCAAAGTTGCGTGAAAATTTTTGGGGGGGAAATTAAAAAAAAACGGCTTTGTAGCGCCCTGGGATAGCTATCAAGGAATGACCACAATGAATTTCAGCTTTCTACTATGTCCTGGGATTTCTCACGACTCTTCCTCAGGCACCCATGTGAAGCACCCAGTTAAACCTCAATAACTCTGGAACTAAGAAACACAGATTCGTGAAACTTAGCAGTTGTGCTAGTTTTATTGTAGTGAACAACCCCTGAAAGTTTCATCCAGATATCTTAAAAAATAAAAAAGTTCGGTCTCCAGGGTAGCCTCCCCCCTTAAGTGGGGCCGTTATATGTGGGCTCGACTGTATAACAGATTTTCGACCAAATAGTATAACTGGTATTTGTGGTGTCTCGACTTCTCTGTTGTGCATGTGTTCGCACACCCCATCTCTTCAAGAATATAACTGGGCATCAGCAGAAAAGCGAGTGTTACAACATGTAACTTTACTTCAAAAAAAAAAGTAAGTCCATTCTCACTGGCTTAGCAGCACTTGCTAGCCTCACTACTCTTACTAGTCCAGCGGCAGCTACAAATGTTTGTGTTAAAACATTCATTAAGAAATCTGACAAAGAGACCGACACAAAGACGCGAGCCTAGAGCCACTATGATGCGTCGACCGTCTCTACTGTCTCATCTTCAGTCTGTCATAATAATAATAATAATATCAAACGGATTTTGCACCCTCAAAACTATAGTATGATTATGATGGAAGCTCTAGTGAAAGGCTCTGGAAATTTAAACCACCCGTTGTTTAACCTGCACCAAAGCCTAAGCCCATGGGCCTTTAGAACTTCATCGCCATCAAAATGCGGCCGCTGTGGCTTGGATAACATCCTGCACCATTAGAGTCAGCCATCGAGCACTATAACCACTAGACAACTGCGACGGGTTTCTCTTCTTTGTAGAGTCCATCTTATCCTGCCTTTCAATCCTTGTTAGCACCTCACGGAATCACAATTAGTTTAAGGGGGGACATGGGCCTTGGGCAAAACATTTATTGCTACTGCTACTAGAGTAATGAAAACTTGCAGGTAATATGTAATTTAATGTGCTGATTTCAAATATGCAACCAGTTTTTCTGTATCTCACGAAAAAAAATTTTTATACAACTTTTTCTGTTTTACACTTCTGGGATGACTGGCAAAAAATATTTTACAATAATCAAGCTAAAAATTATATTTATATATTCCTGAATGCTCAATGAGTGCAAGAAGCATAATTTCGTGTTTCTACATTTATTTTATCCCAAGTTATAAAAGTTCAAAAATTTTTATTGAGACATGAATTCTTTGTTGTTTGCCCAAAATTTCAAAATGTTTCAGGGTGAAGAAACATTGTATTATAGGCATATTGCACTCTTTGGAAGTCTAGCTATAAGACAAAAAAAACCCCATTAAAATTGGATGATTAGAAGGGTAACAACAGCCACCCAGAAAATTGGAGACGGCCAATAAAAGTGTTTTGAGAAAAGTGGGAAAAACTAATAGACATGTGAAAAAAGCCTTTTATTCTCCTGGATGGGCGAAATTACAACAGCCAGTGGCTCAGAAGGCTCCTGGAGAATAATCTGGGTGGGGCTTTCCTCTTTGCCTCCGCTTTGCAGCTGCCTGAAAGGCTGCTGATGACCCCCTCTTCCTTTCTGCATTGATAGTGCGTTGGGAGTCCTTTTCATTAGCCCTTCGGCTACCCTTGGCGGTTTGCTCTACTTGGAGCTCTCGCAATATGCTTGAGCTGGCATTGTGGGTGCCAAGGTTGAACCTCATCACAGCCTCTCCAACTGCTGCCTCGACTGCATATAGTGAGGCATTTTTGTCTTTGGGCGCGAGGCTCCAAATGACTGAATGCAGTGCCTCATTAGCGTTCTGAGTTTGTCCTCTCAGGCACCGCTGCAGCAACTTCTTGTCAGCCAGACGCTCAAAAATGGGCCGCAGTGCACTGCTGACCGCTTCTGGCAAGGTGTACCTGCTTTTTGGTGGTGGTTCGTTTTTTGCCATGGCCGAGTTATATTTACACCATGAGTCAGGACCATCCGGACAGAAGTTATGATTGGGCTTCTCATCTGTCGACGTAATGTGATAGAATGTGGCCCACACTGCGTTGTGCATTTTATCTAAGTCTCCAGCAAAAGACTTGATAGCCCATCCATAATAGCTGGAGATCTTGGTGATCAGGTCTGCGGTCAGCCGTCCTTTACCACTAATGCGCTGCGCATCACCTGACTTGTGCTTTTGCACAAGGGTGCGAAGCGCTGTGCCCATTCGCTTCTGAATGTGGTTGGTGCACTCTTCTTTTACCACAGGAATAAAGCCATAAACTTTGGCTTCATCAATGGCAATGAATGAGCGGCTATCACCATCACAGAGCATGGTTGTATACCTGAGGCCATGCAGAGAGAGTGAACGTTGAAACAGAATCTTTGCTGCCTCAACTTCCATTTGGCCTGCCTTGCAGCTTATGTTTTTTGGCATAAGTGCTGTGCCTTCCATGCAGCATAATCTGGGCTATCTGGCTGCGGCCCACACTCACAGCCGAGGCAGAAATTGGAGAGAACCACGTAATCTAGCACATATCCTGTAAATAGCTCAATCACGGTCCAATGTGAGAAGAGTGTCCACGTGTGTGCCATGAGCCATCAAAACAAACAGCAATGTTACCCGGATTTCCAAAATTCAGGTCACTGTACAGCTGTTTCACTTCGGCAGCACACTTTGCCAAGTTCTCAGAGCATGCTTTTGCCGTAGCTGGGTTCAGCTTGGTCTTCAAATAATGCTGGTAGGTCTTATTGTGAAGACCTCTGTGAGAAACTCCAATGGCAGAAAAAAATGTCATTTAGGGCAGTCTGCCCATTCCCCGTGCTTTGCACCGCCCGTGCAGCGAGAATATTTATTTCGAAGGGATTGCACGTCGCCGAGCCAGCAACTCGCCGCGAGCTCCACTGCGATCGCAGTTCACCGCAATTGCTGCACGACACTGTCAGTTTCACGGCGATGCCGTACTCACGCGTGTCCCTCTCAATAGTTAGATCACCACGGCACACACGGCAACTACCAACCTCGAACAGGTTATTTACAAGGTCCAGGTCAACAACCGTATACGCCGTGGTTGAACTCGGGGCACTGTCACTCGCGACGCACTTCATTTTCCCTTCCGTCGCCGATACTGACGCTAGCTGGGAAAGTCTCTGCTGCGTTTGTTGCTCGCGCAAAGCACAATCTGCACTTGTTAAAAAAGTCGAGTCCAATCTTGTGCGCTCAGGCCGCGCAGCTCCGGTGTCCTGCACGGCCGCTGCCGCAACCGTCGGGGCGAAGTCCAGGGCGTGCGCGTCAGTCGCCGGCTCGCGTTCCGCCGTTGTCGTGTTATCTGATGCCGGTCCAAGGTGCACAGCGGGCTCCGTCGAAGGCAGCGATGCATTTCTTCGCTTCGCAACACGCTTCCGTCGCGATTTGCCGAACTTGTGCACGGTGCGAAATTTCCGATAACCGTTAGGCATAGCGCACGACGACAGACGACAATGGTCTCTTTCGAAATGACGGCAGTTCGTTTTCGCTGCAAGCAGCCGGAAACAACCACGGACCAATGAGGAGGCGCACTTTTGTCACGTGGCGGCTGCGGGCCAATGAGATAGCTAGGTTTCGTTTTCTTTTTTGTTTGATTATTCAGTTACAGCGTATCACTGAAAACTCGCGTTTGGCGGAAAAAAAAGGGCGAAGGATGCAGTTTCAAAGGAGGCCAAGATGGCTGCGCTCCGTGGTACGGTTGCAAATCGGCGGCGGCGCGAAACTGATCGTTTTATGGCGTTTACCGCGAGCGAAACTAGAAAGTTCGCGTAGTAAATATGATCGTCCGGGAAAACTATACTGTTTACAGGCCTAGAGTTTTGCGAGAACGTGCAGGAAGATGTCCTGAATGCAACAACAACAAAATTGAAAATCGTTTTTTTCGCTATTTTTTCGCTTTCAAGACCCGTGTCCCCCCTTAACTACTACCAACTAACAAGTGGCCTCCAAGTTACCATCACTCACTTTCCGTTGTATTCCGCGAGGCTGCGTCGAGCCACCACAAGTAAGAAGTCATCCGGATCGTCCACATCCTTCGTGACCTTCACATTTTGCCCGGTCATCGCATCAACAAAGTCCATGCTGCCCAGCTCTGATGTTCCGTTGCTGAAGAAGCCATTGGTCGGGCCAGCATAGCTGCCGACATCGTACACCAGTTTCCTGATGGTCGACTCCTCCGCTCCCTCGATGTCGAGCGCAGTGTAGAAGAAGAAGAGGACGACAGGGATGACGATGGCGAGGATGGGGAGGAAGTACTGGCGCTTGGTGGTGTGCCACCGCTTCAGGAACAACGCTGTGGCCTGCTGCGCCAGCAGCGGCAAGCCACTCGTGCGCTGGAACGTCGGGTACTCATCGTCTGCAACGCAAACGTACTGGCACTCGTCAACCTTCTTCCAAAGCACTGCGGAGGAGGAGAGCAAATGGCAGATTGCAGCCTCGTATGGGAACCAGGGTGTCTACCAATTTATTGTTTCCGAAATTCCCCTATTTTTCTGGGTTTAGCATGACGATTCAGAGCTTATTTGTACAGCTGGTAAACCTGCTCGGAAAACTGACTTCTGTTGACTCGAAACAAGCCCTCGAGTGGTAAAAAAGAAAAAAAGAGAAACATGGCATAGCACAAACTCAGTGCAGAACTCAGGACGTCTGCCACTGCATCTTTAATAAATGAGCCTGACCCGGCCCATTCAGCCTCTGCTCATACTGCTTCTGGCCAAACGAGAATGCTTTTCAAGTCAAGCCGAGCTCATGGCCAAGTCAAAAAAGATTTTTCAGAGCACCATATCCCAATTGTCTGCTTAGGAATTAAGATATCTTGTGGGATCTAAAGAAGCGCTAGTAATGCTGTGTCTTATCTTTTTTTAAATATCACATTGCTGCTTACAGCAGATGCATAAAAAACAAAGCCTCATAAGCTATCATAGAGGGCAAAGATTGTTTTTATGACGATTTGCAAAGACTACCAAAATAGTCAGTTTCCATGACCCAGCTAGGTTTGTAAAATTCCATGACAGTTACCCAAGCTTTACAGATATGTCCGAATTACCTCACAATGTCAGGTCTTCCAGGTTGGTAGACACCCTAGCAAACAGAGCAGGGAACAATAAAGCAGAAGGTTTGTCAACATCAATGAAAGACGTGCGACGACTGTTCACAAAGATTTCCCAATGGGTTGGAGTGGCTGCTGCATTGCCCTGCTCTGCCCTCATATTAATCTGCTCGAGCTATGTTCAATGGTCTAATTTCTTGTTACCGAGCCTCAATTTCTTCATGTACAGTGCTCACAAAATCAAACGCACCAATTTAGCATCAAGCAATGCAGAGTTTCGTTTCCATCATGTTGAATTCGCATCATATTGGCCTAACTTTACTTCCTACATCTGCGCCCTAGTGGTCAGATTCACAGCAACATCAGAGGCAATCACGCACACCAGTTATGCAAAGTGTCCTGGTGTCGCACTTCAGTTTATGAGCACTGTGCCCTCGATATTGGTACTAAAGAAATATATGAGATGAAGCTGAATAACTGATAAGCAGTACAAGATGTCTTTAAATACACACAAAAAGAAACAATCACTGTTTAGATTAACGAAGTGCACTCTGAAAACTCTGATGCTATTGTTTCACTATCACAAGTTGATTGATTTGATTGATATGTAGGGTTTAACGTCCCAAGACCACCATATGATTATGAGAGAAGCCGTAGTGGAGGTCTTCGGAAATTTCGACCACCTGGGGTTCTTTAACGCGCACCCAAATCTGAGCACACGGGCCTACAGCATTCCCGCCTCCATCGGAAATGCAGCCGCCGCAGCCAGGATTCGATCCCGGGACCTGCGGGTCAGCAGCCGAGTACCTTAGCCACTAAACCACCACAGCGGGGGCCACTATCACAAGTTCATTATTAACATAAAATTTTGAGCAAGCACCCCTACCCAAACAAGTGTCCCTCATCCGCTTCACTGGCAATTTCAAATATCTGCGCCGTTCCAGGAAGGCGGCCCTCCACCCCAATCTTATCCAATCCTGCTTTGCATTGTTGCCCGATCCCTCCATGCAATTTGTTGCTTTGTGCTTGCGGTGAGACGTCAGCAATGCCTATGCATTCATACACAATGGCGAAAAACATCGAGGTTATTTGATGGCATACCAGACGTCCCGACATTTCAAGCTCTACCGAAAGTGCATACAAGAATGGGAGAAGAATTTTATAATTTCCTGCATCTAAACTACGGGAAAGCAAAACTTCAACATAAGCTCAGTAACAACGCACCAGTGCTCAGCGAACACGTAGATGGTGCACTCTTCGAGTACCTTGAAATACAGGAAATGACGTCAGCAACGGGATTCTTTCCGAAAAGGCCATCGAAAAACAGCATGCAGCTGGGAAACTTCGTAGCTTACAGTCATTACATGAATCTCATGAAACAGTGGTTCAGCATTGTAATGTGCCACGTTACGAGCGAGAGCCAAGCGACGCCCAAAAAACTTTCAGAAGCAGTTGGCGCCTTTCGGCAAGTCTGCTGTGCAGGACGGCAACCCGCACAGCGGACTGGCCGATGTTGGAGCTGTGGTGCCACAAGATCACGGCGGACTTCAAGCGGAATGCCGTGACCTGTTTTATGCAACTGATTCGAAGGAGTCTTCTGATCATTCTAAAAGTAATTAAAAGCCACAACAAATTCTGGGCCTAAATAAAGTTTCCTGTAATAAAATTTTAATTTGCACACATGGCTTTAATTTGCGCACAGGGCTTTTTTTTTTTCTGGCACGAAAATTTTGCCACCATCCTAAAATTTGGTGCCGTTCTGAGATATCGTTTCCCTTCTTCACCAGTTTACTGACATCGAAATTTTACGGTAGAAGAGAAAAGCAACGTTGATTGATTGATTGATTGATTTGTGGGGTTTAACCTCCCAAAACCACCATGTGATTATGAGAAACGCCGTAGTGGAGGACTCCGGAAATGAGAAAAGCAATGTTGAAGTCTCAGTTTTAAATTTAGCACTACCTGCGTGACGTCAAAAGTTTTAAAATACATTTTTATATTTTCGTGAAAATGGCTCAATAAATTTTTCAGAAACTTCACATGCTAAGTGTATGGCACCCACAGATGAGAATCTACTTTATTTTTATTGATTAGAGGCTGCGTAGGACCCAGTAGATGCCTTCAATACCTATGAAGTCACACTGTTAGGTGCGGGAATCTCAAGATGATGTCTCGACACATGCTTTTTTTTTTTGTCGTGCGTTTTCTCGCTTACCAAGCATCTTGCTGTGGTAAGAATGGTGTTTTTCGGGATTGTGAAATTGTACTTTACTACACGCGAAGAATCGTTTTGCTCTTTGGTGTCTCTTCAAGTGTTATTTTCATCAAGAACAGAGCTTGAAAATGCAAGAAGCTGGTAGCACAGTATAAATTAGCTTCAACGTAAAGATATTAGCAGATGCAGAATGTTTTAACAGTAATATAGAATGTTGTAATAATAAGCAGAGAAGAATAGTCATATTCCGTTCTGTGTTCTATTTTAAATGACAAAAGTGGCACTCTCAGGGGACTCGGATGTATAACTTTTCTACAGAAAGATTTGCGCGGAAGTCATAACTCTACATAGCTTGAAGGCTCTATTTTTAGCCTCAAACTTGAAGGTGGCACCGGCACCCAGAACATTGTGGTCCCCAAGGTTGCCAGCACAGATTTTATTATAGGCCTACGCAAATAACCTAGTGCATCACTGGCACTCCAAACTGTGGAAGAAAAACACTAATCGTGCGTAATCAGCCCGAATTCTTTCAGTGCCCGAATTTTTACCTTGCAGTAATAAAATAAAGCACATGACGCACTGAACTGACACTGTGCTTGCCTTCACTGTTGTTAACTTGCACGCTATGTACAAAACAGAGAGTGCTACAGAAAATTCTGGTGTGAAACAAGGGGCACAACGAAATGTCGCTTGGGCAAGAAATGCAATTGCAAAAGAGCTTGTTTTTTCAAATGAAAAAAAAGAAGTATGCCGGCAGTTAGCTCTTTTATCCACAACAGTACTTTGTCCTAGAGGAAGCGCGATTAGTCGACATGCCGACGCACCTTCCACCAGTCCACCAATGCGGTCCGTGCCGTTGTGAGAGCTGGATGACGCGCTGCTAATCTCGACGCTGGTGTCCGCCAACTCACCGACTCTGCAAGAGACGGATCAATGCACACCAAAGTTTTCACTCAAGAATAAAAAAATTTTTTTTTCGAATAGTAGAGCTGTTCAAGGTTTTCATTTCCCTGTTTTGCGCGACCAGAAAATTCAGCTGTCTTTAGTGCATGCAACACAATAAGTCTGCCTGTACGCTACTTCTTTGTCCACTTTTGTCATCTTAGGATTGACTACGAATAAAGACAGTTTGCTCTTGGCCTCTCATATTAGAGAAATGAGTATTCGTCAAAATCCTTCTACAGGAGGCAGCACCGTCGCTGCATTAGGGTCAATTCGCTGCCCATGCGGTACGTGCAAGTGTATGGGCTGCTGTTTCTATATCGCCATTCTGTGCTGAGTAGCCATCGAAAATGTTTACATTTCTAACATGAAGTATCGCTCAGTCCCACCATGCCACAAATATTGAACAGACCAAGAGACAAGCTTTCATTCCTATCCCTATGTGACACAACATTGCCTCCTTTGTGTTTGAGCATCGCCTTATGTGTCGAGCTATGACGTTATTAGTGCCAGTCTTAGTGTTAGAGTTAGCTCATTCTGTGTGTGTTCTTTTTGTGCGTCCTTTGGGCTTAAGGAGGGAGGTTACCATCAGATACTAACTTTTTGTTTATTGAGACATCTCTCAATGAAATTTTCAGGATATACTAATAGTGTTAATGAAGCTATGTTAACTGGTTATCTAGTTACGGCAGTATGTCAGAATAGTGCACATGGTTCTCCTATTTCAGACCTGGAGAACTTTCAAAAAATGCTAGAACTGTGAAATTAACAATCATGATTCTCAGGTTGACACCTCAGAGGGTAACAGAGCTATTTTTTTTTTAATTTCCTTACTGAAAAGCTTTAGCAGACCTCCGAATTTAGTATTAGTGATTGGGATATTATTAATAAAGCTTTGATTAGGTATCATAAATAACAAACACAATGTATCAAAAAAATGGGCTTGTCTCCCCGTCAGAAATTTATTCACGTTCATAATAAAAAAAAGATTTATGAAAATGGGATGAGTGCTTCCCCAAATATGGCTGGAACAAGCAGCCTCACTAGCCAAAAAAGTCATTTCGAGAAAACGACATATGAAAGTTTTGGGCACATATGCAAATCTAAAACAACCCTGCAGCATGACTGGAGGCGTCCTTTGGCACTCTCTTTCTTCGCAGTCTTCTCCAAGGATTTCTTCTTAGCCTTCTACAAGTGCAGTGAATCTTTCTCAGCTACCCGTTGAATGGTTAGGTCCTGCTCCAATGCCTGAAATTTTCACTCCGTCGCTGGCATAGCACCGAGTTCTCTTTGAACAGCAGCGCGTTGTTGATCCACCGCCTCTTTCTTTTCGCACGTCAGAAAATGTGTTCACAAGTGCACAGTTGACGACACGATTGCACTCTCGGAAGCCTATGAAAGAGAGGATGTGGAAGCCCTGTCGATGAGCGCGACAAACCAGGCACACTTGCAACGTCAAATTTTAGCACCGGTGGAGCAGAAGTCTCGTGTCTAGGCCCGTCGATGCAACCACACTCTTGTGGAGATAAAGCAGCTGCTCCACATGCTCTGTCAGCGCAATCACCGTCGAGGTGTGTGCAAGCGGAGAGCCTCGCCATGCGAACAACCTTCATAGATCGCTTCCTTGCACCGAACACTTGTTGTGTCTTCCTTTTCGTTGGACGCACCGCCAGCGAATGCAACAACGGCCTCGTAAAGACAGTTGAAAATCGTCTCGTGAAGAGGTTTGAAAATTGTTTCGTAAAACGGTTGAAACGCAGAGAGTATGTGAACGGCTGCAACAATAGACAATAGGGGACAGAACGCTGGGGACGGAGGAGCAGCAGAGGACGGAGAGCCGCATTATGTGCAAGATTAATACGTCATCATGCGCAGCAGCCAATAGCAGTCACAGGGTCCCTCTCCTCCTTGAGGAGTGCGCGCATCGCCCAATCCCGGCGGCGTGTCTCTGCAGCGGGAAACTTCAAAGCTCTCGCGAGATCTCCAATCATAAGCAGCTTGCTCCTCTCCTGTGCTGCCGCCGTCGCCACGGGTGGCACGAAAAGAAAGTGCAAGAACTCACAAACAAAACAACACCAAAATGGCGGAGCTCCATCAAGCAGTCGAGAAACTGCAACCGCGCCAAGTTGGGCTATTTTTGAGCGCTCCCGTATATCTCGAGGGCTGCGGTGGCTTGTTGCAAACTTTATTTGAAACAGATTCACAATGACATAGACGTTGATATTTACGGAAGAGGTAGTTTATGACATGTACTGCCCGAATATGTGGTTTCCAAAAAATCAAACTTTTCCACCAATTTTACATGTTCAAAGGCTGCGTCCCCCCTTAAGCAGCACACTCCATGTTTAGATCTGTTTGCAGTTCTTCGCATGACATTCCAATTTGTTGCTATTCTATTCATTGCTTTGCCCTTGCAGCGAAACTGATTTTTCTGAATTCTTAGTACCGTATTTACTCGATTCTACCGCGCCCTCGATTGTAACGCGCACCCGATTTCCACCGCGAAAAAAAAAAAAAAACGTAAGACATCGATTGCAACGCGCACCCATTTTTTTTCGATGGCCCGCACGATCACACCACTCGAAAAAACGATTCCTTTCGGGATTGTCTTCCATTTAAATATGAGGTACGGGCGAAGCTTGTGCCCATCTGACGTGTAACAGAGCATTGCCGTCACTGTAGTTTTACCGTGGACCGATGTCAGCACGGGAACTTGCTTCGCCCCCTTCTCGACAGTTGTGGTGCCAGGCATGTCGAAGTAAAGAGGCGTCTGATCGGCATTCCAGATTTGCCCAAGCAGGTAGCCGTTGTTGCGCCGCAAGTTTAGGACGAACCTCTGAAAACTGTAAAGCTTTTCATCGTACTTCTCCGCAAAAGTTTTCGCATATGCATGTTCCCCTTTGGAGAGAAGAGCCTTTCCTCTTCATATAGTTAATTAGCCAGCACCTGCTCGCTTTAAACTGGCTCCGCATTAGACTTCTTTCTAAGACTAATTGCATAGCCCGTACTTGGAGCAGTTTTGTCGTCATGGGCCGCTGTGCCGCTCGCTCCTCAAGCACATACTCGCGGAGCAGCTCTTTAATTTGCGGAAACCGACCCTGCTGTGGTTCACTGAAGCCTTTGCGTGAAGCTTTGCTGTCGACAATCTTCTGCTTTTGTTTCCGCCGGTCCCGCACGCACGTTTCGGGAACGACCGCGATGCGGCCCGATTTCCGTCCGTTTCTGCACACGCGGTGACTTTTCTTTTAAAAGCGGCATCGTGGTGCACTCGAGTTTTTGGAGTCGGCCCTTTCACGTCGTCGATGCTAATGCACTACTAGATGACGAACTCGTCAGCACACGTACGAAGTGCCGCACATGGTAAACACATAGGCAGAAATAGCCGACGCACCATGCCGACGCACGTAGGGGGCGGCCATTTTGGATTTGCGATGGCAATAGATTGACCGAATTTTTTTTGTTCGTACTCGATTCTAACGCGCATGCGATTTATGAACTCGCTTAACCGGAAAAAAGGTGCGCGTTAGATTCGAGTAATTACGGTAAGTGGGCCGGTATTAAGGCCTAATACCATCACAACAATTAAGGCTGAGTTAATGGATGTACAACGTAGACTATTTTTTCACTGTGTGTAAATTCTAAAGAAAACGAAGAAGTACAAAACACATAACACCGAAAAAAGAAAATAATCAGAGAAACATATAGAACAAATTAAGAACAGAAAGAAAGCCAAGGTAATTAAGACTGATAAAGATTAGCTAGTTAGGAGCTTCCTACAAATATCTTGCAAATTAGGGTCATGGTAATTAAGACATTGTCACTTAAGACATGCAATCTAAGATGTTCCCAAACAAGATTTTGCTAATAATCTAGGTCGGTGACAAACTTATCTGCTAGGCTAGCTTTGATTTTCCGCGAGGCACCATGGGCGTTCTACAGAGAAGCAGGAAGCATCGTGTGGGCTGGCAAATCTTCACGAAAAACTAAACCGCATTATCAGTCACATCCGCCCCCTACATGTGCCCACTAGCATCTTTACGTCTTTTTGCGCTCACACCTGTTCGCCATTTCTGTATTTCGCTCGCTTGCGAACAGTTATGTGCACGATTTGCAAAGGTGCTCAATGGACGCAAAGATGCCACCACCACCCCGGCAGCAGTACAGTGCTGCCTTCAAGTGGCAAGCGACCCTCTACACAGCAACAATGAAGCAGGGTGGAAGTTCAAAGTGTCAGGGAAGAGCATGAGGGAATGGAGGAAACAAAGAACCGAGACCTTCATGTGTGCTGCGACGTGCCGTTCCTTTCGTGGACCGAAGTCTGGACGATAGATAGCCCTGCCGTTGATGAGACGGTTCAAGATTGGGTTGACGACTAAAGAAGCAAGAGCCTTGAAATTTTCTACGATAGTATTGAAGCAAAAGCACGTATTGTTGCGAACCATATGTGCCTCCTGCTAACCAAGTTCAAACCAAGCTTTTTGAGTGAGATGGCGCAATGAGTAATGGTGCAATGAGTAATGGCTGCCAACCGACATAGTCCTGTGCGCAGTTTCCATGTGCGGCATCCCCGTATCACCAGCTACCCTTCCGACGGCGAGCAGCAGCAGTGGCTCACTCGATGGCAATGACTATGACTGACTGCTGCATTCTTCTCTCAAGTGACGACGACTCGTAAGCGATGTTTCATAATCAAATAAATGTTTCTTTGCATCACTACTTTTTCTCAAAGACTTACTAGTGTACTATGGTCGCAGCATGAGGCTATGTTATGAGTCAACTTTTTTTAGGCGGTAAAGCTCCTTACACTGTGGCTCGGTTCCTCCAAAGTTGTTCATCGTAGTCACCCCGGCTGCTTCTCACAATGTTCACTAAATGGCACTGTGCTGTGACAGTTTGTGAATAGATCACTAGATGGTGTGGAGGCGTGCGCTGCATATGGGTGTTAGTGTAATAAAAGAACAATCATTTGAGACAGACGCACAGATAGACAGATGGATGGACCGAGAGGCAGATAGATGGACAAACAGACCTAGCTTCGCCCCACTCATCATTATTCACTCCGTGGATATACTGTGAATTTTTTTGCCTAAAAGAGGTTGGGAGTTGGGTGGTCGACTTATTATTAGCAATATATGGTAAAAATTGCAAGGTAAAAATTGTTTCGCAGCAACCATACTCCATTACATTGCATGCTAATCTCATGGAATACATACAAGCCATCGTCCTCTCACTGAGGCCCTACTCTACAATCAATATCCTAAAAGCCGCAGTGACACCTCTAATTTGCTGAGATCTCAGAAGTACCTGATGAATACATCCTCCATAGTTGTGACCGAGATCCCGAGGCTCGCAATGCCAAGGCTCTCCTTGCTCTGTTCGAGGTTCTTTAGGAGTGGAATGACGTCCGAGGCCGGCGGAAAGCCGAGATTGAACATTGCCTCGTGGCCAATGTCTGAGGTGAGCTGGGCTGCTGGTATAGCTGATGTGACCTTTTCAGTCACGACGTTGAGGCTGCAGTTGCTTCCCTTCGCAATCCTCATGCGGTAGCCAGTTCCTGAAAGGAAAGGAGACACTAACTCTGCATGCACGTGCATATATCAGTCTTTTTTTCAACATCAAACATTATGGCTGACTCCCTAAGAACAGCTTGGAAAACTGAAAATGAAAAAGAAAAAAGCTAGATGCAGTGCAACAACGACTATAAAAATGTACACAGTAATCTATTGAAAAAAAAAAACACAAGAAACAAGAAAAACAGACAAAAAGAACTCGAAAGAAAACATAGGATGTGTAGTTGCTAAATAACTATTTGGTTATTAAAGTGCGAACTAAACTGGCTGCATATTTGGTGCGAACTAAAACTGGCTGCATTGACTATATCACCTAACTTTTTGAGCCCGATACAAATGGCAATATAATCCAAGAAAAATCTGCCCATTCCCTCAAACTACAGGTTTGAGCACCTCCACAATGATATACAGTTCTCGTACTATACAATTTTGCCCAAGCGAACTGAATGATTCACTATAGATATCGTAACAATACTCAAAATCACAAAAAAACTATATGCCAACTGAACCACCGAAAATATTAAAGAAAGACAATTTTAGAGATATATACCGTTACATACCTGAATCGCCAATATTCAGCCAACAATGGCCAACATGCAATATTATTGCTCAACAGTTGCCACTAGACAGCCAACATTAGCAGCACACTGGCATGATGATAGAGTTGCTTTTAACAGATCAATGAAATAGCACAAAGAAAGATGACAATACGTTGCACATTCATTGTTATCTTTTTTGTGCTTTCTCACATCTTCAACAGCAGCAGTCGCTCATGCATCATAGGCCATCATCTAGTCAACACTAGCCAACCGCAGCTAGTTTCAACCAGTGCCTACGGTATGGAAGTAAAAACATGCCAGTTCCATTTCGTGAGAAATATTCAGTGTAGCTCTTTACAGACATTTGCTGGATGTGGGCCAGTAAGACTTTTTCCAGTTGCACCTGAAGCAGCAACCTATAACGTCATGGCCCTGAAAATCTTGTTTTGGATTCCGTATGACCAGGGTATAGCTTTCAGAATCCTTATATCCCCTATTCCCAACATCCTGAACAAGAAACTAATATTATAAGAGTTGAAACCTCATACATTGCCCTTTCACTGCTTATACGCCCTTGGCTTGTTTTGACCTGCCAAACAGCTATCGTCCTAAAATAAAAGTGGTTGCCAACCATATCGCTTCTTGAGAAACAACGGCGAGCCACAGCACTGCAGTTTCCCGTGGGCCACGAACGCGATGCGGTCGCCAAGAGCGTCAGCCTCCTCCATGTAGTGAGTGGTCAGAAGGATCGTCTTGCTTCGGCGAAGGTTCTGCAGCAGCGTCCAGACCGCTCGACGGGCCTGCGGGTCCATGCCCGCCGTCGGTTCATCCAAGATCAGGATCTACCAATGAGTCCAGAGGAGATGGGTGAAAACAACTGTAACAGGATAGTTTCGGCTTCTCTTCTTGCAGTAGTCAATGCTATGAAATTATCGTTACTAGTCAAAGCAAAAAATTATGCAAGAAATGAAGAAAGTACAACTCACAAGAAACTGAAAGACCCCTTTGCTTTACATCAAAAAACTTAATCAAGAAGCATGTCTTTTACAGTTTCACCCCTTCTTAAGAGCCAATGATGTAGGTATAAGAGACATCAGCATGTGTGCACTGAAATAGGGGTTGGCCGGAAAATGAGACCACGGTACCCTGCATATAAACGACACCTCTTGCAAGAGAGAGAAATGCTCCCTGCAGCGTTTCTCTTATAAAACGTTAAAGTGTACTTCAATTATTCATTTTAAGCCACATCATTACAAAAAAGCCTCCAAGCCAAAATTACGTTAAAGCTAAATACAAATCACAGAATTTTGGAGAGCCTGCACAGCAAACTTACCTTTTCTTCTATGTCCCAAGTTGTCACTCAGAACTATTTTCAATAAGCCTGTGCATGGAAATGTACAGGCTAGAGTCCTGCCATATCATCCTCGCTTAATTTCTTTTTTGTTTCAAATATGAAGTACTCCCAGCACTTCAGCTGAAAGCTGCTGCAGCAAGCTAATTTTGGATTTGTTATCCACTTGCATTGTAAACCGTACTGATTAAGTAGGTAAATTTGATGAAAGACACGGAACAGAAGCTAGCATCACTGTAAGTAAGGACACAACCAGAGACAGCACGGCAAAACAAAAGAGACCAGGCCAAAATGTGACGTTTGCACAATGAAGGGTCAAGGGAATGACGGCACCAAGAGACGGCCAGTACGTGTCTAGCTATTCGGATACACGCATCGGTTGTGAAACTGAAAAAAAAGTTCACTTCACATGTCCAAACACACAGCATGCACATAGAAAGTTCTCAAAAGAGTTTCACTCTTTCAGCACATTATGCACAGTGCTTTCTGTCCTTCCAGTCATTTGTAGACATTTGTAGGCACTTTCTTCTGGTACTGACCAGTGCACTATGCATCTGTGTGCGCAGCTGTAGTCACACAATTAAGATCACCAAGCGGCTGCGAAATTGAGCAACAACTATAATGACAACTATTCAAGGTGCATTCTGATAAATACAACACGGGAAAGAAAAAACATGCACCCATGCTTAAAAGTTGCCCGTGGGCCTTAAAGGGCCTACTGGGTGTCAGAGGCCCTTTGTTAAAACTCGGCCAGAAACTTATCAATTATAGGCACTTTTCTGAAGATTTTATATATTTGACATATTTCTTAATCATTTCAGCATTGTGCCAGAGTCACTAATTGCAGGGTTAAGTTAGGTTGCATTGACTTGTACAGTTGAATCTCGATAATTCGAACTCGAAGGGGCCCGAAAATTTGTTCGAATTGAAAGAAGTTCGAACTAATGAAAGCTAAATGAACGGGGGGTGCACTATGCAGTGGCACATGTACATTGAGTCAACACACGAGGGAGAAGTTTCCGAAGATTTACATTTATTCACAAATTACAGGACATCGTTCATTATTTGAAGTAATCGGTGATGCATGTCGGCATACGTTTGCCTTCCAGCGAGTCAATTTCGCACGCACTTTTCAAAGCAGTTTCTACTTGAACTTCAGCATTCTCCTGGCAAAAGAAGATGCATGCGGCAATGTCCAACACGGACGCTTTTCAAAGATGATGACAACTGCGCCTCCACCGCTACCCTCAGCCACAGCATGGCCAGCATGTGACAAGAAAGGAGGAGCGTCTCCACGTGGGGAGAAGCACATAGGGCATTTTCAAAAACGAAAACTCCGCAGTAGCTTTTTTTTTTTCTTTACTCTTTTAGCACACATCTTTGAAAGCAGAAAGGTCTACAGGACAGGGATGGGAAAGGGGAAAGCGTGGCACCGGCGCGTCGCAGATCGGCACTTGAGGGAGTGCGAACATTCCACCGCAGCCTTTTCTTTTCTTTTATTTTCCTTCATGCACAGCGTTGAGGTGACGGAGGTGCTGCCGTGGGATTGGACGTGGTGCTCAGAGCATTTTTAGAGCGCAGTATGTTCGAATGAACCATCACAAGGGCCTTCACGATCGAATTACAGGGCATTTTCATAGCTATGACAGGACCTCATGTGAGTTCGAATAAACCGGAAGTTTGAATTAAGCATGTTCGAATTAATGAGATTCGACTGTATTACATTAGTGATCTGACGGCAGACGTTCTGATTAAGTTGTCACATTTTTGACACGAAGACAGCTACTGAATTTAACAAACTTCATTACTATTGTACCAGCAATTTTGTGTGATTTGTTTCATTTCTCACATTTCTACATAATTACTCATCAAAGTTGTGTTTTTGAAGGCAGGCCAGAAAGTTAGAGAAGCTTGAATGTCCTTGAGGAGAGCTTCAGCACACAATATTTAGCATTAATCACCACTCTGACCTCAACTCACCTTGGAGCCTCCAATCATGGCGTTGCCGAGCGAGAGCTTGCGCTTCATGCCCCCAGAGAGGTCCTTGGCCAGCGACTGAACGTTTCTCACCCAGGTCGACGCTTACGAGGACATCGTTGACGTGCGACTTCCAGCTCATGTCGGGGCTATCCTTGAGCTGCGAGTGGAGCGAGAAAACCTCATTCGCTGACTGATGCTGGTCTACGGAGGATGACATGGGAAAATGGCTTGTCTATTTGAGAATACACTCAGTCACCTCATTATAACAAAGCTTGCATCTTACAGGAAAATAAGTTTGTTATATCCAAAATTCATTATAAAGGTATATTCCTAACACTATTATTTATTGCAAGACAATTTTATTGTGATAGCAATTATACGGACACTCTCAGTTGTATTTCATTGCCGACGTCGGCGTCGATGTGATGCACCATATATGTATACTTATCTACATATATAAAATTGCAAGAAAAAAAAATCCAGAAAAAAAGACTTCGGCACGCAAAATTGAACGTGGGACTTTCGCATCGTGAATGCGAGGCGTTAACCACTGAGCTACCAAAGGGTACCTCCTTCAACGCTAAAAGGGCAAGCTATCTATATCTACCACTTAGGGCAGCTGGCTGGTATCTTGGGGGGGGGGGGGGGGGGGGGAGCTATCCTTTTTTGGCATTATCAGCAAGATGGCGCAATACGCACCCTGCGGCTCTCATCTCTCACTCGTAGGTGCTTTGGCCTGTGGAGAGGAGGTGATTGGACTATCCCTCACATGCCCTTATCGCCCGGTGGGGAGGATCATATGTCTTGGCTGGTGTTCGGCTTGCACTGGAACGATTCTGTTGTAGTTAAGGGGCGCACAAAGGTCACTGCAATCTTTGCACAGCCTCCGTTTGCGAAAAGGGCGTGCTTTTCAATCACAGCAAAGTAACAACTGAGACGCTTATTCACGTGCATCTGTACCTGTGAGTACGTTTCGTGTGTCACTTGTGTGTGAGAAACGGGGGGCACGTTTCGATCTGCTTGCCATTCTGCGTGTGACCTTCCAATTTGTTGCTATCGCCGTCACTGCTTCGTCTTTTATCCTTTATAACTCATTTTCTCATCGTTATAACTGATAATTTGTTATATCTGGGTTCGTTATATCGAGGTCTGAGTGCAATAAGTCGTTGCAATAAGCTAGCTTTCCTGCAAGGCAGCTTGCCCAACTAACAGCAGCCGGTCACTTACTGTGAGCCGCATGAAACTGTGAAACTGTGAAAAGCACTGTTTGCTTGCTCTGTAGCACAGGAAATGTTTAGTGGGCTCCCTTGCATGACAGGGAAACCTAGCACGTGCCACTTGGGCCTTGTCTAGACTTAAAAAACGCAAGGTCCCGTCATTAATTGGGTGAATGTACAGCATAGGGAAGCATGAATAATGGAAGCAAGAAAAAGGGAAGCACAGAGAAGCATGAATAACGAAGTGTCTATTAAAGTCGCAACAGTTTGTGAGATATGCCGTACTACTACTACTGATAATAATGATAATAATAATAACAGAAATAATGATAATGAGATCTGCAGTTTTACATTCCAAGACCATGATATGGCTGTGAGGCATGCCGTAGCGAGAGCTCGAGTAATTTCTATTGTCTATAGTTCTTCAATGTGCACTGAAATCGCATACTACACTAGTCTCTAGTAATTCGTTTTTATCGAAATGCGACATCCGCTACCAGGACCCAGCCCGCAACCTTTGGGCCAGTAGCCAAGCACTCTTATCACTACACCATTAAGGTGGGTGTGAAATATGTGCTGCAGTAGTGTCGGTTCATTATTCTTCACTTCACCAAGTTTATTCATGTGCACAATAGAGGACGCTTAGCTCCTTTAAAGGAGCCCTGAAACACTTTTTCAAGTATCCATGGAAAAAATTCTGTGGAAGAGCTTATTGCCTCGCGAATTTAACGCCACAAAAATTTTAAGAATCCGTCCAGTGCGAGTAGAGTTACAAAGGGTTGTCGCATGCTGCAACTGCATTCTCTCTTCTCTCGTCCCGACGAAAGCATTGGAAGCTAAGCTGGGAGGAATGGCGTGGCCACAGAAAAACGTCACGCACGCTTCGCGACCTTGAGCACTTTTTTTTTCTTCGATTACGTGACTTTTACAGTGTGATTGTGCGCGCACGCGTGGACAAGTAGCGGCCTCCCGCGGCGATCTTTGTAACGAGTGAGCGCGCCATGTTCAAATCAGCTAATAGCTGATAGATGGATCATTGACTTGAAATTTTCGGGCATTTAACGTAGTTTGTTGAGAGAAGAGAATTTTCAGCTAACTTTCATAATTTATTGTGAATTTCAGTCCGCGTGCTGTGCTATAATATATGATTGGCGTGTTGTCAGGAGCCTCTACTACCGATCGGCAGCGTTTTCTGATCATGCTCATAGCCTCATTTGCATTCCAGCGTATGCAACACAGCTGCTGACCATCAAGAACAGTAGTGACCGTAAACAGAGATGAAAAGAAGTAGTCTGAATCATAACCAGGAAAGAAATGACAACAATTTACTAGGCAGCATAAGCAGCATTTTGACACATTCTATACACGTGTGAATACCGTAATTACTCGAATCTAACGTGCACCTTTTTTCTGGTTGAGTGAGTTCATGAATCGCATGCGCGTTAGAATCGAGTACGGAAAAAAAAATGAATACGGTCATTCTGTTGCCATCGGCACTTCCAAAATGGCCGCCCTCTACATGCGTCGGCATGGTGTGTCGGCCATTTCTGCCTATGTGTTTCCCATGTGCGGCACTTCGTAGGTGTGCTGAGGAGTTCGTCATCTTGTAGTGCATTAGCATCGACGGCATGATAGGGCCGACTCCAAAAACTCGACGAGTGCACCACAATGCCGCTTTTAAAAGAAAAGTCATCGCGTGTGCCGAAACGGATGGAAATCGGGCCGCATCGCGGTTGTTCGGAGTTCCCGAAACGTGCGTTGGTGGACTGGCAGAAACAAAGCAGAATAGTTCGACAGCAAAGATTCACGCAAAGGCTTCAGGGACCACAGCAGGGTCGGTTCCACAAATGAAGAGCTGCTCGGCGAGTATGTGATTAAGCAGTGAGACGGCACAGCGGCCCGTGACGACAGAACTGCTCCAAGCGCAGGCTATGCAGTTAGCCTTAGAAAAAGGGCTAATGCGGAGCCAGTTTAAAGCGAGCAGGTGCTGGCTAACTAACTTTATGAAGAGGAAAGGCTTTTCCCTCCGAAGGCGAACGGGCATATGCCGGAAGTTGCGGGAGGAGTACGAAGAAAAGCTTCACAGTCTTCAGAGGTTCGTCCTAAACTTGCGGCACAACAACGGCTACCTGCTTCGGCAAATCGGGAATGCCGATCAGACGCCTCTTTAATTCGACTTGCCTGGCACCACATCCGTCGAGGAGAAGGGGGCGAAGCAAGTTCGTGTGCTGACATCGGGCCACGGTAAAACTAGAGTGACAGCAATGCTCCGTTGCACGTCAGATAGGCAAAAGCTTCCCCCGTACCTCATATTTAAACGGAAGATGCTCTCGAAAGGAGACGTTTTCCCGAGTGTTGTGATCGTGCAGGCCAACGAGAAAAATGGGTGCGCATTGCAATCGACGTCTTAGTTTTTGTTTTGTTTTTGTTTTTTTCGTCGTGGAAATCGGGCGCGCGTTGCAATCGAGGGCGCGGTAGAATCGAGTAAATACAGTATTTGCACCAGCCATACTTGGTGAGCTCTAAATCTACATGCAAGGTGAATCACCATATTGGAATAGAAGATATGAGGCTAAATGAGATAGACCTGCACTATATTGAGGTGATACGCGTCAACTCTAAATGACAACACCAAGCTCGTTTAGGACCACATTGATCCAGTGAATGCTGCCTCAAAACCATGAAAAAGTGGAAAATAAGTAACTTGCTCCTGCACTGCCTCAATTTCTTGTGTGGGCAGTGATCGTTTGCACTGTGCAGAGCATTGTTTAAAAAAGAAAAAAATAGGTTGTTCGCAGGGCATTCTAGAGATGTGCATCCGCATAGGATTTTCCCCCAAAACAGGTTTCACGCACTGGCATGGCTCTGTGGCAGAACACTCGCTGGCAAAGCAGAACTCCTGGATGTGATGCCCACTTGAGCTAAAGATCATTGCTTATTTATTTGCGCCTACTTTGAATTTTTCACGCGAACAGTGCTGATTTTTTTACTCTAAGGCACCCATGCAGACACCTGAATTTCCCCAAAGTGAGTTCTTGAGCGCTATCGCGTTAAAATTCATCTTGCCAATGCTGCTCACACTGTAGAAGAAGTAGAGGTGCTCCTCGACTGTCAGCTCGTCGAACAGGACATTGTGCTGCGGACAGAGGCCAAAGCTCTCTCGCGCCTTCTTGGTCTGCGTCCGGATGTTGTAGCCGTTGATGTGCACCTCACCACGGGTGGGCGGGAACAGTCCTGAAATTGACGACAAATCGATAAAGAGTTACACGGCTTACTATTTATTCCATCGCTGTTAGCAGCGCCCAAGTTTTGTACAGTGCACAACGAATGCCTCTCCTCAAGCAAACTCCAGTTACGATTGTCATGCACTCAGTGTGACGAGATGCTTGGAGAGTCGGTCGACATATAATGGTTGCACGTTAACAAACGAAGATACAAAAGGTTGAAAAAAAAATATATCAGTTGCAAAATCTATTGCTTCACAACCTTTCTGCTTCCTACTTTTCTTTCTCAACTTTCTTTTTTTTATGTTAACACAAATCCGTTAGCAGTCTTGTGCTGTCCAAACATATTTTATGCTCCCAACTTTTCTTATATCATAACAGCACAAAAAGTGAGAAGCAAGTTTTTTTTTTTATATATGGCTGAACTAATGAAATTTAATATGCTTGTTCAGTTTCTTCTGCAGATTCCAAATCACTGAGTAACATTTATAGTAATACAGTCAAACATAATTATATCGAACCCACACATATAGAATTTTCGGGTATATCGAACTTACAAGTTATCCCCTTGAAATTCCTTTATAAAAGGATAGAAATTCGCCTGTTTATACTGAACGGTACCTTCAGCTCTTTAACGCTATCGTGTTAATGAAATGAAACTTCAGACTTAATTTCCTCCTTCTATAAAAATACCAATGATGATTTATTGACATTACAGTTCTCCCAGCACAATTTATCAATTTCAACAAATTTATTGCTTCTCTTTAGAGTCCCTTTAAGCTATCTCAGCAAGGCCTTTGTCTTTGTAGGAGTCACAGCCACTTTTCAGTGACGTAAACAGATGATAAATTTGCTGAAAGATTTTGCTTTGGCAAGGTGCAGTGTCACACCTTTCTCTCAGGAGTAGTACATGTACCTCCAAATGCCATCAATCCAAAAGGTGGACCAATGAATTTATCACCAGTGAGACCTCAGAATTTGACAGAGCCATGCTTTTGGCAAGGCAAAACACGACCATGCTCGATACGATTTCTAAAAAGTGTCACTTGTTTTTCTTTTTCGGCTTGCCACTGTCCCAACTTTTAAAGCTACAGCCTAAAAAATGATAGTGATGAAATCAAGAATGCCAAGCCAAATTCTCAAGCAAGTCCTCATCATTTATCCTGTGTCCATCCATACGCTAGCACAATGAGCAAGTATAAACCGTAATCCCACGTTTTCAGCAAGCTTTTGTGAAGTAAAAAAGAAGTTTGCCTGATACTACAAAATCTTTCACGAGCAGGGCATTTTTCATTTGCCTTGTACACAAGAGTTTCTGTATGAAGTTCAGTTCTTATCTGAATAACGCATGCACAGTTTTTACAATTGAACAGGGAAAAAAACATGACGGGTACAAAGAACTAATTACATCGCACCCTGTACAGTTCTTACAAGAAGGCTTAGTTTCTGTGCATTCCGGGCAAACAGGTGAAAACTAGAAAATTTTTAAAAATCTGTACACTTTGGCAGGTGACCAGTGCACACTTACATTCATACCTCATTACAACAGTTGCATCATACACGAAAATAACTTAGTTATATGTCGAAATTTGCTATAAAGGTGTATTCCTAACACTACAGCTATTATCGAGGCTATTATGCATTTACTTCATGATAACCAATGTTTCCTTATATTTGGGTTCGTTATATTGAAGTTTGAGTGTACATCAACGCTCGGCAAACTTTCGATGCCGATTAAGAAAACCCAATTTTCAGCTCTCACCTGTGATCATATTCATGGTAGTCGTTTTGCCGGCGCCATTGTGGCCTAGTAGTACGGTGAGCTGGCCATCGAAAATTTCCAGAGATAGGTTATCGACAGCCTTCTTGAGGGTGCCTCGGAATTTCTGCAAAGCAAAAGATAACCTGATCAACAATGCGGGTAGAGATAAGACTAGTTATAAGCAGTGAAAAATAATGTGAATGAAAAAGACAACAGAATAAACTTTATAAAGACGTAGGAAAATTAACAAGAAAATGAACTCATTTGAATTCAACTTGCTAAATATGCCACATTCAATAAGAGACAAACATAAAATCAGTTGTAAAGTGGTGCATGCTGATGCCGATGGAAAAAATTGAAGAAAGACTCTCCCATTAATGCCACCATATACATAATAACATGTTCAATGAGCGCTCTTTCAATGAAAGCTAGAGTACTGAATCGCTGTACATGGTCAATGAAAGCTCGAGTGCTGAATCACTGTAAATGTTCAATGAAAGCTCGAGCACTGAATCACTGTAGATGTTCAATGAAAGCTTGAGTACTGAATTGCTGTAAATGTCATTGAAAGTCCAAGTGCTGAATCACTGTACATGTTGAATGAAAGCTCGAGTACTGAATCGCTGTACATGGTCAATGAAAGCTCTAGCACTGAATCACTGTAGATGTTCAATAAAGCACTTGAGTACTCATACACTATGAAAGTCAATGAAAGCTCGAGTACTGAATCACTATACATGGTCAATGAAAGCTCGAGCACTGAGCCACTGTAGACGTTCGATGAAAGCTTGAGTACTGATACACTTTAAATCTCAATAAAACTTGAGTACTGAATCACTGTAGATGTTCAATAAAAGCTCGAGTTAATCACTGTACATGGTCAATGAAAACTAGTACTGAATCGCTGTACATGGTCAATGAAAGCTCGAGTACTGAATCGCTGAAAGCTTGAGTATTAATACACTGTAAATGTCAATGAAAACTCGAGTACTGAATCACTGTATACGTCAACGAAATCTCAAGTACTGAATCACTGTACATGGTCAACGAAAGCTATAGGACTGAACCACTGTAGGTGTTCAATGAAAGCTTGAGTACCGATATGCTGTAAATGTCAATGAAAGCTGGTGTACTGAATCACTGTACACGGTCAATAAAAGCTCGAGAACTAAATCACTGTACATGGTCACTGAAAGCTCGAGTACTGAATCACTGTAGATGGTCAATGAAAGCTCGAAAACTGAATTGCTGTACGTGTTCCATAAAAGCTTGTAAAGTGAATCACTGTACATGTTCAATGAAAGCTCGAGTACTGAAACACTGTATATGGTCAATGAAAGCTCGAGTACTATATCACTGTCATGTTCACTTAAAGCTCAAGAACTGAATCACTGTACATGTTTAATGAAAGCTTGAGTACTGAATCGCTGTATATGGTCAATAAAAGCTCTAGTACTGAATCACTGTACATAGTCAATGACAGCTCGAGCACTAAATCACTGTACATGGTCAACAAAAGCTCGAGTACTAAATCACTGTTCATGGTCAATGGAAGCTCAAGCACTGAAACCTTGTAGATGTTCAATAAAATCTTGAGTACTGATACCCTGTAAATGTCAATGAAAGCTCAAGTACTTAATCACTGTACATGTTCAATGAAAGCTTGAGTACTGAATCACTGTAGATGGTCAATGAAAGCTCGAAAACTGAATCGCTGTACGTTTTAAAATGAAAGCTTGAGTACTATACCACTGTACATGTTCACTGAAAGCTCATGTACTGAATCACTATACCTGTTCACTGGAAGCTAGATTAATTGATATGTGGGGTTTAATGTCCCAAAACCACCATATGATTATGAGAGACGCTGTAGTTGAAGGGTCCAGAAATTTTGACCACCTGGGAGTAACATGCACCCAAATCTGACACTGAAAGCTAGAGTACTGAATAACTGTACATGTTCAATGAAAGCTCGAGAACTGAATCACTGTACGTGTTCAATGAAAGCTTGACTACCGAATCACAGTACATGCACAATGAAAGCTCGAGAACTGAACCACTCACATGACCACAGAAATATTTCCATTTTTACAATCAAGCCGCCACGTCTGGAAAATGAATCTATAGTTATGTGCTCAAAAGTAATGCATCAATGAAATGAACAGTGGCCTTATCGTTCCTTGTCCCTTGCTGTTTCTCTTAAAGTATTTGTACGTTTCGATGGCTTTCCTCAATTATTACAGGGTACTGTCAATGTTAATTGAATGAAGTTTTGGCACTTGCACTAGCCCTACTTACCTTGGTCACATGGGAGAGAGCGATGGTGGTGTGCGCATCCGGTGGCGGTGGCTCGAACACATTTTCATCGGTGTTGCCTGTATCGCCAGTGACTCGTTCCATCTCGCTGTCATGGTCCAGTTCCGTGTACCAGTACGATTTCTAAAAAGGCACCGAGGAAATGATTACACACTTCCTTGGGACATGCAACTTTTATTGTGCAACACGAAGCTTTTGTGTGCTTCTGAAGGAAAGAAAGAAAGATCTGAAAGTCTGAGGGGCCCATTCTTGTTAAACATAACTGCACGAAGCTACACTGCAAAGTTGCAGATTCAAAAGCAAATTATTTCTCAGTCCATTTTTATATGGCTACCACAGTCAATTTAACCTAAAATTACAAAAGATGCCTCATAAACATTCCTTTGATTTATTATCCATTAGCCTCAATAGCCATGTGCTTTCATCATAAACGTAATTGTTGAGGTAAACGTAATTGTTGAGGTTTCGATGTTCTGAAACCACAATATGATTACAAGGGACATCATAGTAGAGGGCTCTGAAAATTTCGACCACCTGAAGATCTTTAATGCGCACCAAAATATAAGCACACAGGTTTCGAAACTTTTGAGTCCATCAAAAAGTAGCTGCCAATGCTAGGATTACATACTTTTTGGTTTTGGCGCCGAAATGCACTACCAGATCGATGATTGTTACTTAAAGAATTCGTGAGTATGTGTGATGAATGCATGTGCATGTTTCCATACTACAGCAAGAAGGCGTCAGTAATGTTGGTGCTTCATGGTCAGTAGCATACTAGCCAATTTTTCTTGATACATTTGTGAAAAAAGCTTAATATCTACTTTATGTAGGAGCTGAAGTCTAACACAAAGCTCCAAAGTGCTAGTAGCAATGAGGAAACAACAGGTGATAGAAACGTGCTCCCATTTTCACAACTGATGTGTTGATGTGCAATGTGATGCATTTCAACGTTCAGAGCAGGTACATTGAAAACAGTAGACTCAGCATAAATACAAGACCATAGGGCACATTCTTCACCAACATGAAAGGAAACACTACACTGCATTAATTTTAAGCAGCCAGTTTTGCAAATGTACAGCTCAAAAATATACACATTGCCACTTGTTGAATTATTTGACGAATTGAATTGTTTTGATGTTAGTGAATCTGTCAACCTAACTCACGAATATCTTTCTCATTGCGCACAGGCACAGCAAAATTTTTTATTTCAAGCACGAAACTGGTGTTCCCTTTCATAATGGCACAGAGTGAATAGTTCTTAAACCCATACGTACACACTCAACAATGCAAAATTTACATAGAAAAGCAATGCAGCTGCCTGTCGTAGGCAACCGTGAAACACTTACTTCAGGAGGGCAGGAAACACCTGTGCTAATGAAAAGCACGAGAAAACTTCAGAAACTTTGTGTGCAACAAACAATTTCTCTAAGCAAAAAAGCTTTGTTTCTTAAAAGAACATCAAAACTGAACCCTAAATCTGTTTAGGATGATATATTATTTCTTCCCAACTTTACTGTAGTCATTTTCTTGATCAAATGTTCATTTTAAAAAAAAAACAGTCATAGTTTCACTTTTATATTTCGCCCCCTAAACAGGGAACGCTGGTATTCAAATTTTTTATTTCTTGATCAATTTCGACGAAACTTAGGAGCATCTATATATTGATGAACTGATTTTAATTATGAAATTATTTTTCTAGCATGACGATTAAATAAAATACATACCATGTGCCTTTTGTGGGGCAATATTTTTTTATTGAGATAGTTACAATTTAAACCAGCTTATCACAACAATGTGAAAATAGAACTGGGTGCAGTGCACCAAAAAAAAGAATGTTTTAAACACACTTGACCAAATGTTATGGTAGGTTGAACGTTTCTAAGTGCGTCAGTTTCAAGCAGAGATTTCATTCGCAAATGTTTAACATACCACATCTTTTGTTTTAGTGCATTTAAAACATCCATTTTAATTGCATTACATTCAGTTCTGATTCCTGGTGATCAAGATATGCTGATATACTTTGTAACTCTCTGAGTCTAGAAAATAATCTTGCTCCTCAAAAAGCACATAAAATATCTTGTATTTTACAAACTTATCTTTATGCTACAAAAATAATTGTACATTTCAAATCAGCACATACATGTACATAAACTTATAAATCTTCATGAAGATGGATCAAGAAATAAGAATGCTTTTAAGATCCCCATCTCTATTTAAACTCTATGACGGTGAATCAATCATTCTTCTGGAGCAGGGTTGCGAATTCCACTGGTCGCTTCAGAGTCACAGGCTCTGCCACTGGATTGTTGCCACGCTGCAAGTTAGTGAGGACACAAAACGAGCGGCATAAGTCACTGCCATTACTGGGTCAGCAACATCATGGTAGTGCTTCGCAGGTTCTGCCAAGGTTGTCATAGGAACATGTAGAGCGGAAGCAGAAATAATTTTTCGAACTGGTTTACACGGCGCGTACATAACGGGCTTCTCGCGTGACTTCACGAATGAGCAAGCTTGTTTCAGGGGTGTACAAAAAACTATGGTCCTGTTTAATGGACTTCAATGCTTGTGCTTTCACACCGTAAAGTGAATGTCACAGCACATGCTCAAAATTCAACATGTAGGAATACATTTATGAGCGGAGAGCTCTGAAGCATGCAAGGAAGTTGTAGATTTAAAGGGACCCACAACTGGCCTGAACGGGTGATTAGATTCCGGTGGAAGAGAGAAGAGCATGAATTATAGTTACAGGTAACAGCATACTTTTCGCAATCTCAATAAGATATATATTTTTAAGTTGCGTTCAAAAGTAACCAAACCAACATGTCGCACCCCTAACGCAAGAGCCATCAACCACACATATAAAGACATAATAACTTTACAGCGATTATTTAAAGCGCACCGGAATAAGGGCTTAAATTTCGAATATGTATGTTATTGTTCATATTCATTTGTTTCTATGCGGATTATGAGGTAAAAGAAGTAGAGCAAAAAGAGACGCTGCTTTCATGGCCTCTGCAGGGACACAAAGTGTAGTTGGACATGCGCGCGCCTGTGCAGCGTTTCCAGGGCAGCTCGATTCCCGTCGCGTCGGGCGCGTTGGAAGAAGCATGTGAACTTGTGAATGCAATCGCTGCGGCACGCAAAATGCCAGCGACATACTGCTCTGCGGAGAGTTGCTACCACTTCATGCGTGCTGCTGCTGATGGCGGTCCATCAGATTCGTCAGTAGTGCTGTCGTCCATCGATGCACGTCACTCTGGCGCTACTTGATAGGGGTCCAAGTTTTGCGCTCGTATGCGAGCCAAAATTCGTTGCTCCAACTCGCTCAAGTTGTCAAGCGATGACATATCAAAGCCGCCCAACTACGGCAGCACGTGAACTACTATGCCTGAATTGTCGATCCTGTGTGAACACGTCGTTTCGTTTTCGAAGACTTGGCTTAGCTTGACTTCGCTAAAGTCGAAAAACGACCTGTGCAATGCCAAAAATACTTGCATAAGAAGCCCAAAAAAATTCCTGTAACTGTTGTAAAATGATTTAGCCCGCTAGAAAGCAGTAGTCGCGGGACTGCAGTCTTGACAAACATGACATTATGTGTTTGTACTTAGGGCTTCACTCTTCAACACTGCTGGCATTACACTAGCATGTAATCGCTATCGCGATCACATCCACTGTTTGCAGCATGTCTTTTTAAGACAGCATAATCGCCGCAAATAGAAAAATTCCGACTATAAATGTTCTACAATGCTTTCTGCGTTACCATTCCGTGATTACAAGCTCAGACCGGTAAGCTTTCCGTTGCACTTAAGAAAACGGGTACCATAAATATTGGTTGTGGGTCCCTTTGACAGAATTTCCAGAAAAATTCGTGCAATTGATTTCAGCTATGCACAGCTACAGAGTAATACAGCATCACTTGCTGTAGCAACATTTCACTACTGGGAATAATGGTGTAAAAAAAATGAAGACTGTATGCTTCACATAAAAAGTTTGTCGTGTCTTTTACTCTGGCATGATATATATATATATGTGTGTGTGTGTGTGTGTAGTATAGTTGGGAAGAATAAGGATGCAGTGGATCACATTGGGCAAGCATTCCCAAATAATGAATAGTAGTCTGCCACAAACCTTCAAGAGGAAGGTATATAACAGCTAATCTAATTACTTAGTATGCATTTGCCGTATCAGACTTGACATTTTATTGCAAACTACAAAGTAAACAGTCAGGTTCTTTATTGTTCTTAACGTGTTTTGTACTAGAGAAGACTTAAAACCTGTCCTTCATGTTTGTAGCTGTTGCTACTCATAGCAAAAAGATTTTGAAGACAAGATTGGGTGTGCAATGCAGCCAGGCACTTTCTCGACCCATGGAAAAAGGCGACCTGTGAGATATACCACATGAAAATGCTGCTAAATTTTTAAGGACAATGCAACAAGACATTATATCCTAAGAACCCCTTTGTAAGTTACCGTGTGTGAGCGACTATAGTACAGTCGCCGACCGATTTTCCGGACTCCAAAAATTCGGACTTGTTGGATATTCCGGACTTCATAAATGCACCGTCAGGGATCCCATAGAGCTAATGCATTGTTTCGACCGATTTTTCGGGCGAATTTGCCCCTGAAAGTTCGATTTTTCGGACTAAATCGCTTGTTTTGTGCCACGCCCCAAGCCTTTGTGAACGCCGCCATGTTAGATTTTCCGTCGGCTTGGCTAAGCTTGGTCTTCAGATGCCTTTCCTGCCTCCGAGATTAGAATGCGCACGCCATATTTTAAGTTTCGGAGGCCGTGTTTGCTATTTAAAAGACGCGGTGATGGATGCCGTTTTTTCGTCTTCGGTCAGCGCTATCGTCATCACATCGCACGGGGAGGAGGCGAAAGAAGGATTCTTTTATTGTCGTTGCAGCTTTTTTCAGTCGCCATTCTGCACGTGTTGTGTCGCGTAGCGTCGAGACGTTGTGTGCTTCGCAGCGGCTATCTGCGGCATTGAATTTTGTGTTCTCGGTGCCATGGCTCCGCTATCTGTGCCATCGCGGGAGCCAGGTGGTGTGAAGAAGCGTGGGAAGTATACGACCCTGACGATGGAGAAGAAAGCTGCCATAATCAAGCTAATAGAGAGTGG